ACGGATAACAGTGGAATTTCCTTTCTTCAGTATCTCAAAATTTAGAAACTTTGCATCGATTTATTTTTATTGTCCTAATACTCGTGTAAGTGAATAATTATAAATTTTAACACGTCTAAATAAATTTATAAATGTTAGTTTTTTTCTATCAAGCAACTGCTCATTATGAGATACAAAATCTGCTCATATGAAACATAATTGTTTTATCAACAAGACTAGTGTATAGAATAGGTCTGTCATGCTGAATTTCCACATCAATCTTCACTATCTTGTTTGCCGAAAATTCCTAATCTTTAAGTCCATTTGAATATGATTGGTTTGTAAATTCCACTTCTGAACTCGCCTCATCCTTTAAACTCTTTACTATCTACCACTGTTCAGTAAAAAAATTAATATTACTCATGAAACTCGGATCTGCACCATCCATAGTCTCAATCTGTAGCATTATCATCCAGTTGTTTTTTTCTGTCGTAATGAAATAAACAAAAGCTATAAAACATCATGAATAATACAGTGTTTAGTTCTTAAAATTTACAACTCTCTGAAATAATACTTTGATATCGTGATCTCTAAGCGAAATAGTTTTCTGTTGTGCTTTTACTTTTCTTCAACCCCCCGCTTCATCCCACTTTTTTTCAAATACATGTCTCACTACCCAATTAGGTGAATACTGCTTATTGCATAATCTATAATTCTAAAGAATAATAATAATAATTCCAGCGTCTAATTTTCCAAGCTGTTTAATCTACTACTTCTTATGTAACTAACATATCTTTGAGTTTTTATTATTCTTTTCATAACCAGTACACATGTCATCATATTATCAATTTGCTCCAAATTGAGCATTCATTCTAATTCTGGTATACTTTTATGAATAACTTATGAATTGGGAAAGTGATAGGGACCGCTTCACTTATCTCGGGACTCTCATCAGTGCTGATGGCCTGGTAACTGACGAAATCTCAGCACAGATACAGAAAGCTTTTGTCAGCTTGCGTCACTTATGGCGTAGGCGAGATATCCATCTGCTAACCAAAGGACAAGTCTGCCGCGCAGCAGTTCCTACAATATGGATGCGAAAGATGGCTGGTCAGAGTAGAGGATATTCGTAGGGTATTAGTATTCGCTTAAAGATGTCTTTGAAGCACTGCTTGCGTATGATGGAACAACCGAGTAAGCAATACTGTCGTTAGGAAACGAGTACTAGGCAAGGATGGCAAATCAATAGATGAAGTAGTGAAACTTCATCAGTTGAGATAGTTGGGACATGTGTTACGAATGCCCAACCACCGACTGTCTCGACGAGATAGGATTTGTGGTGTAGGAGTAGGTTGGAAGAAAGCTACGGGTGACCAAACCAAAACATGGCACAAATCCATGAAGTCACTGACAAGTGAACTGAGTCATGTTGATAGATATAGGCTACCTGGTTGGGTTGCACGAGATGAAAGTCATCAATGGTTAGAGACCTTGAATGACATGGCCTTTACTCGTTTGCAATAGCTTATGTGCATCCACTCTTTGTGTTCTCTCAAATTCTAATCTTTAGAATTCCTCAACATCTCTATCTTTCTCTTTTTAAAGTTAGGTCACTGAACTATACTTCTTGAATAATATCTTCGATCCTTAATGTTCTCTATTACCAGTAATTCTTCTACTATCTCCACCACTATGTGATTTGAACTAACAGTGGCCTCTCTGTACTGATGAGGTATAGTAACCTGAACTGACGTACGTAAGTACGAAGTTCTACTTTGTAATTGACCGACTGACTGACTGACTACGAATCGGGAAATATACATCGATTGTAGCTGGAGAATAATGAAAAATCAAACTGAAACAAAATGTACACGTTATCAACAGTCAATTAATTGCATTTTCAACAAATTTTGGATTGGTTATTTGAAATTAAACACAATAGTAAATATACTTTCTTTAATCTTTCTATACTTTGAATGTTCAAGAAATTTCCTAATTAATGATTTATTTTTAATCCTTATATATGAATTACTATTGACGATTTTTCTCCTCATTTTTTCATATCATGTCATGCCTTCTATTTTTTTTTTTTTCATTAGACTATCACTAGAAATGTCAGAATTAATGATTTTATTTTCTCTAATCATTCCATACATTATTGCATTATCAACCAATAAGATAAAGCGATTCTTATATGCTTCGCTTACTTCGTTTCCTTATGTTATGAAAAGGTTTTTTTTTCTCCAAATGAACGACATCATACGGTTAAATTGTTCACATGATAAAACGGACTACTTTTTGTGCATTATGACGTAATAATTTATCAGTTTCAGAAACAAATTAAATACTAAATGATAGTTCTTCTTCGCCTTTGTTTTACGTAAGCGATAAAAAAAAATTTACTGAATTATTTTGCTCATCAAAAATTCAATCCCATATATTATTTGTAGTCTTAATTCCATTTATCACAGATCCACTGTTTCGCTTACTTGAGAATGAATGATGCAGTTAGATTTAGTAGAACAGATTATCAAAAGATTTTCGGTTATTGAATTTCGAGATCTCTAATTACTGGAAAATAGGAAATACTATGTATTTCCTATGTACTATTTAAATCACAAACTGCTATCTAGTATTTGTGTCATGTAAAACAGTTGTAACTTGATTCCTATTGTAACCTGGAGCCATTGTAACTTTTCGCGAAGGAACATAAGACCTAAAAAGCCGGTGTAGATGAAAATTATATTGACCCCCTATACACGACTTTACAAACTTGATGATTAATCATATAACATACAGGAAAAATACAGAGTTCTTGCAAAAATAGTTGGTAAGCATTGTTCACACGGCATTGATACAAATAATATCGATGAACCAATCAGATTTCAAACAAAAATTGATCCACTCATACGGCTAAAAACCATTCTTGCACAAGAATTGGTCTCATTTCGTGATGAAAATCCTAATAAATTCATAAACAAAGGTTTATTATTCGTGTTATTGACTGTAATCCTTTTCTATGTAAAATTGTCTAGCCACGTACTTTTCTGGTTGGCTAAGAAGTAGTTCAAGGTCACTCACTTCCACTAAATGAACATAAAGAAAATTGACCTGAGATAAATGTTACACTTTTCATCCCCTTTTACAAAAACAATTAGTCACCTATATATTTCGATAATATAACGAAAAGACGAGAAGTTCTGTCTTATAACTGTAATGTATTTCGCCATACACACATACCTACTTATCTATGTATCTATGTTAGAAAACTAATACAGGTCATTTAAATAAAAGATCGAATAAATGTATGTTGGTATTGGAAACAAGGAACAGAAAAAAACTATTATTCATGGAAAAAATAAATTGTCTCACCACCGAAAGTCTTCAGTTACAAATTCAGAGTTAGGATAAATTGTTCTGTTTGCATAAAAAGGGCTTGAGATTTCTGATGGCCGATGCTCCTATAGACTTAAGAATTCGCACTTTGAGAGCTGTTTTAAACTCAATCTTGCATTTTATCTACATCAAATGTTTTGCTCTTCAGGTTCAAACCTTCCTATTATCTGTATTTCTCATAGCATATGACACAAACTGATTATGAATTCATTAAGGCACACGTCCTATCACTCATGAATACATTTTTCAAACACACCTGTGAAGTGGTAAATACAGTGTGATGTAATGTAATCCTTTATTCGATGTAGAAACCCATATAAAATTCTTGGCTTATTCTTATTGATAACCAATTTAGCATCAAAGTATATTTTCACGACAACTGTTTCTTTTCTTTAAAGTAGAATTAAGAAAAGGTTTCAAATGTTAACTGACTTTTATACTGATTTATAGATTTTAACGTTGATTCGTTAAATATCAATGACTCCGTCATTGGTATCATATCTTTATTGAATAATGTTAAAGAGGCAACCATGAAAATGAGAACTAAAGTTATTACTCGTTATTTTGTAAATTGATGATGCTGTTTTTACCTTGATGGATAAATGATTAGTGACCAGTGGTATATTCGTCTAATTCTTATCAGTGACCGAGTTCGTCGATCGTGTTTCTATGTCACTACTAATCTAAGTGGTTGTTAGAATTCAATCAGAACTAAAGATTCCACAAGCACTATGCTACTGAGTAGCCTATGGTCAGTTCACATAAATATCTCAGTCTTACTGCAGGTCATTGATTGCTTAAATAGCTCAGTGGTAATGTTTCATTGTAGAGCTGAGTAGCGCAGGTTCCAATCCCATGAAGAGTATTAGTCCACCTATGATTACAGTTGCATCTTACATAAAAATATCAACTAAACCGAAACTAATGTATGCTATATTTTCATACTGAGCGCCTCTAACCTACCATACATTAGAGCCAATTTTGTTTTAACGTCTATTTAAACCTATGACCAAATTTACAAGTTAATTAATAAATTCAGGTCAGCTGTGAAGTATACGTTTGTGTGTCTAGTTAAAAGTTATGCGCATTCTGAATCAAAGTTAGTTAATTACTCTACTGTTAACTTTCAATCACTGTGAAAAAAATATTTCGTGTTGGTTTCTAATACTATACAAAAATGTAATACTCGAAAATTATCAACCATTACACAAGCTTTTAATTTGAATTTTTTTTTTTAAGTACTTGAGTTAATCACACATCAATCATTTAGCCCATGATTTATATGTCTGCTTTCTACCAGTTGAGTTTCATAAATTCGTTATGACTGACCATGTTCACTATCGCTGTAAATACAAATCAGTTGTCATTCATAGTGAAATTAATCGACAGAAACCGTCTTCAGACTACAAATTCTCCTATGAAATATCTAACTAAATAATAAATAGCAGATATTGATGTTAACAACTAACTCCAATATGAGTTATATCGAAAGTCTTATAAATTAATCTGTAGAGTAACATTGAATAAAGACTGTATGATATCACAATCAAAATACAACTGAATATTTCATTACTTGATATCAATTTACAATGAAGACCACTAGCATTGTTTTTGTATTATTCTAGGTTGTGTTGGAATTCACCAAACTTTAATATTCGGTATAGCTGCACTGCTACCGATGAAGTATTCAAATGCAGTGATTGTAGGATCCGTAAGTACTAGTTTATTTTTTGATTCTTTATTCTATATTATTTGTCCCGTTTATATAAGACTATTTAGACGAATGGAAGTTTATAATCTATCAGTTTATACAGGGTTTAGCATTAGGTTAAATTTTATTAACATCAAAACAAAAATTCATTGTTTGAAACAAATGCAAGTCAAAGTTCGATAGATACCCTTGGTTAGACAAAGAAGATATGGTGACGAAATTTTCTCATACGAAAGTCGTAATAGTAATAAAATAATCAGCAAAAGCATTTAGAAGGTGGCGTAATAAACGAAAATACCAAGATCAAATAAGAAGAAACTGTTAATCGAGAAGATGGAGTCTACTAACAAGATTTATACACCTTATCTTCAGACTTTTATTGGCGAAATAAGCAGATTATGAGCTGTCTTCTTTCACTTGGCGTCTGATCTTCAAAAAAGCTCTGATCGCGCCCTACGTCTGGATTCAAAACTCTTCTCTCCAGTCGTAACATCTGAGCGACACTCCGCTTCATACTACTTATGACCCATGTTAAGAGTAGTACACACCATAATAGGATATAAAAAGCAGTAAACGTTCAAAGGTATCCGTTAAGAAATGAAAGAATCGAAACACAGTTTAAGGTTTGATAATTATTATTTTGGCTACTAGAACGACTCATACACAATAAAATCTTTGGCACTAAAACAAGTAGAACCTCCCCCAGGTCGCAAAGCGGAAGCTGGAAAAGACAGAAGAAATGTTTACTCTAGTCACTCTCAAAAATGTACTGCGAAAACGTACGTATTTATAGTTTTTTGTATGGAGCGGAAACAGCATATAAAATCATCTAATCCTCAGTAAGCGATGTTACGTCATCGTACAGTCACCTTATTCCACATCGATGTACTCGAAATTCTATTGCGCTGTGACTGGGTGGAAGCGCTACGGCTTCTTGAAAGCTTCTAGAGGTTTCTGTGAGCCATTCCAACAATAATAATAGCGTTATTAGCGGGTATATGGTCAGGAAGAGACTATTAAAATTAAATAACAAAAGTAGGGTAGAAAAAATGAAAAATCAATAATGTTTAACAAATAATTTGTAATTTACTAAAATATTAGCCATTATTATGGCCATGGCAAAGAGAGTGATTGTACAAACTGCTTATGGACACAAAAAGTTGGTTTACTAAAAAACAGATACCTACTGTTCTTTCTATGTGCATAATACATATTGATAAGCACTGTGGGATGTTCAGTGGGATCGGATATATAATATGAAATGCTTTACTTTGTATCAGTTAAATAAACCAGTATAGAACTTCTAATTGATCTCAATTGTTCTTTACTTAACCAAACATGATAATGTTTGAAAGTAAAGTTCTGCCGTACTGAATGTCCTTTGTAAAGATTTTCTTACTAGTACTAATATAATTCACTGACAGCATCGCTTAGGAATTGTAAGTTTAAGAATACCTGTAATTTAGTAGCTATGGCTATTATCTCTGACTATTTTTCCTGAGAATATTTCTTCCGTACTGCTAGTTGGTCACTATTATTTATGGCTGTCACTAGCATCCAGCATGCTCATTTCGTGTCATGTGGCACTCATAAGCTTATATATACGTGCATCCAAGTGTTGATGTATATGCTGAGGCATTGTGTTAATCGTTTCTAACTTATAGTTTTTCATCATTGTTGACTAACATTATTTTTCTTTTCCATCTTAAATAATGACCCCATTATCAAAACAAACTCAGTCGGTTTTTATATGTTAGCTTCACCAGTAATTTGCACAATCATCTTTTCGCAATTCACATGAACATCTTAACACTTGTACCAATTACACTGAAGGCATGTTCTATTCACATTACTATTATTAGTATTAGTTATCGGTTAGTCTAATATAACAATACTCCTACTGTGCATTATATCCACAAGATGAGTTTATTCGATTGATTGTAGCCTTATTTCGAACAATCTAATGCATTACTTATGGAGTTACAGAGCCAAACGAGATGAGTTTATTGAAAATAATTTTCCCTGTTTTCTCATGAATACTCTATTATGAATCCTTTCATTGATTAATAATACTAGTAATGATAATAATAATGACACTAATGTGAATTTATGTTATTCTGCTTGCTTTCTTTAAATATTTTAAGTCATCGATCAGTCATTGTTAGACTACCATTAGAAACCTGGAAGCACTGAACGGCCGTTTCGTCCTGTTATGGGACTTATCAGCAGTGCCCATCCACGACTCCTGCACCTCGCAGGATTCAAATTCAGGACCTTCGGTCTTGTGCGCAAACGCCTAAACATTGGACCATTGAGCCAGCATCCAACGGTGTTAATTTCTAACTCTGACTGATCTAGGGATTTTGCACGACCTCACCCATTTCGCCTTTGGTAGTTACTGCCTACACCCGACAGGGTTGAACTCCACTAGTCATGTCTTCTCACTAGAACTCCAAGTATATACTGAAATATTTTATTTGCTTTGATAATATTTATCAAATTAATGAAAGGCGTTGTTATTGAATATAAATTTTACCAATTTCTGTAGTAGTTATTAACAGAACTAATTTTAAAATTTTATTGTAACTGACAACTTTCAGACTATTCTACTAGATAATACTGTGAACAGTGTGCAGAAAATTGTTTACATTTATTTCTTTTTGAACATTCAGAATGTATTATTATTATTATTTAATGTCTGATCATTTATTTATCAATGTGTTTCTATATTCATTAATTTTTTGTTTTATTTCGTCTTTTATTTTTATTATTTTTTTTATATCGTTTCGATCATACAGAATGCTTGTGGTGCAATAATTTCACTAGTGAATATTATTACTAAATCATTAACTTTAAGTAAGTCAATGATTGTTAATTTCAGCAAAAATCATGATATTTTTCTTAAATTAAATTGATCAATTTCTCTGTCTGTGTATGTTTTTTTTTAATTAAGTGTACTTCTAAAACGGAATTATATTCACTCTACTTGAAAATAGTGAACTTCTGAATTTAAATGATGGAATAATGAAAGTTGATTTGGTTTTGGTTATAATCTAAATAAATAAAGGATGTAGAGTTAATGAAATAGATAGATGCAATAGAATTAAGAACCCACGTTTCGTTTTATTTAGGACTCGTCAGCTAAATACACATGAATCTAAGATTTGATAGTAACGATGAGGCTCGTGCCCAGTACTATTCTCAATCAACACAAACAGATTATACACTGAGTCCATATTGCTATGGGCTTGTGTAATGAGTAAGATGTTTGATAACATCATCAGTTTAAGTTGGAATTATTCCACTAATCATAGTTAGCATAGAATTTCGGTCAGCCTTCATCAGAATATCTGGATTACCTTGAAAAAAATATTGTGTAGCAAGTATGAATATAAAGTTTAAATTTCCAATCAATTCATGATAGAAATATCTTGTAGCTATTCTAAAAACCTCAACAAAATCAATCTCTATTCTAACGACTATCTTGAAAATATATTTCTTCCTCATGGATATCATGGGAAACTGTGACCAGTAAAGCCAGTCACCTCGAAACTGAAATAGTAGTTCGTTGATAATATTGTCTGAGGTTAACCTACTATCGGAAATCGATATAATGTACCACCCATTAAGTCGGAAATCAGTACATCAGTAGTATTGTAGTCTGTGACATTTCTGAAATTAGAGTTGGATGGTAACTGAATTTATAAGCATTGTAATGTCTATACAGTATTCCCTAGTTTTCAATAATCCAACACCTCAGAATAGTTTATAGATGAAAATTAATCTCAAAAATAAACCAAGTTCACTTACAAGTGCAAACAACATCTCAGTTAAGAGCTTACAATGCTCAATCAATTTTTTCTTCGAATAGCGTCGTAAGTACTTTGTTTTATCCGTCATATTCAATTATTTTATTTTCAGTTTATTCCTGTTTATTAAAATCAACTGATTTAATCCAGATTTCCTTTGAATAAGTTCATTTCACAGTTCGATAATGGCATATTTGTTCATTTGAATGAATAATCTGGAAAAAAACTTGTCTGTTACTATTAGATACAAAATTATGATTGGAAGATTTTCATGAAATTTAAGAAGTATTCAATTATTACTCTATGAACAAGCTATTTTTCATTGTAACTAATAATTTAACAGATAAAATGACAGTCAAGAATTTCAAATGGATAAAAATGTTCTATAAAATTATGCATTAAGAACAAACCAGCTAATCAGAATCGAGAACGTGACTTTTATACTTTTCCCACCGAATTCAAATATAATGTGAACTGATCAGAAACACCTCTGTTTACTGCTCGGACGTTTGAAATGATACTGAAAAACTATGCTGTTCAGCCATTAGAACAAGTTTACATGTTTTTCATTTGAATTTACAGGCAGAGTATCCTCTAGAAAAAAATCAATATACTTATTAGTTGTGTAAACGTTGTTGATACTTAGCAATTTCACAAATCGTTTGTTTATGAAATCTATTTTCTGATTGGCCAGAAACCATCTTGAAATTCATGTTTTACTCTGATTTCGTAGAACATCCCTCATATTAGCTGTAAGCTCCGCTTAAATTTTTACGCTACTTTAAGCCTGACATCATTCCTATTTTATTGATTAAATACTGAAGTTGAAGTTATTTTTAATCGAGCCTTCGTGATTTTTTCAACAGTTCACTCAAAACAATTTCTTACGTAATGATCTCAAGTAATTAAAAATTTCCTGTAATACATCGCGTCACTTGACTTTCATCAGAAGAGGCATATCTGTAATCTTCAAACGACTAATTATTCTAGTGATATTCAAACCGGTGTCACTCACAAGCCTAAAGACTAAGAAAGGTGATACTGATTACTCATAAGTGTGAAATACTACAAAGTCGTTGATTCACAGGCCTAAAGATATGAATTAGACGAATAAATATATCTATAAATCACCTACCGCAAAACACGGTGCTAGCTGGTTTATGAGTACGTTTTAAAAAAAAGCTACAGGTGGTCAAAACAAAACTTGAGATCAACGAACAAAGTTATTGTAAGTCGGATAGAGTCGTGTCGGTAAATGCAGACCACCTGGTTAGGGTGTGAGTGATTATCATTAACAATAGCTGGAAACCCTTGATGAAATGGCTGGAAATCTATCACATTGGCACAGATACATTGTTTTTTATATTCTTTTAGACCTTTAGACCTACAATTTTTATTTTGCGATATCATTCTTCTCAAATCATGATTTTTATGGTTTATCTTTCTGACCACTGACTGATACTGTTACTTCTACTACTCAGGGATTCGTCTTTACTATTCCATCCTACTGTAATAATATTGTGTAACAACCTAAACGGATGAGCATGTGTGCCTAGTTTTATGCTGCTTATAGCTAGCTGAATGATCTCCAATCTCACTCAAAAATTTCAAAGATGTGAAGAAGAAGAAGTATTCAGCTGAATCTGTCCATGAAGTTACTAGCGTAGAATTTTACATTGATCGGTCACTACAATTCAACATTTTCTCCTCATTCTATAGTATTATTTGGTTTATGTTCTTTCTTGTTTTCATTTATTATATGTAGCTGATAGGAACAAATATTCTGTCCGACTATAGATTTATATTTCTGATACAGTTGTTTAAAGTATGAATCATTATTACAACTGAGTCATCAAACCCGACTATTTGTTTTTCATATAAATGAATATTTCCAAATAAGAGTTTATTTGTTTATTTCTTATTTCATACCTTTCACCGGTACTGATTCTTGTTTGAAAGAAAGAACGGTTTACAATTCACTTTCATTTGTTGTAACAGTTAAACAAAATTTAGGCAATGTATATTTATGTGTCTACATTTTTTATGAACAGACATATGTACTTTAATGACGATATTTGTCTAAAACCTAGGTGATATTGTAACACTATATAAAGGATATTTTAATAAGTTATACTGATCTGTGTGCATGCATTGTTAGAACATGTTAAAGCATGGTTAGACAATAAACTGATAAGTATTTAAGCGTAGATAGACACATTAGGATCTACTGTGATTCCATTTAATTTATTTAAGTAGTATAAATAACATTGTTGTTAGATGGTTAGGAATAGTTCATAGAAATTATGTAATCTAGATTTTGTTCTAGTTGAGACCGGTAAATAAGTGTTTATGCTCATTTAGGAAAGCACTAAAATCTAGGTCTTGCTAAGTAGTCATCCACATAGTTCTGTGACATGTATCATTCTCCAGGAACAACGATAAGGAATGCATACCATAGTTGGATTAAAATTTTTCTTCTATACCCGTTTGGTTGGAAACATCTAATCAATAATAAATCATTTATATAAATGATTTGTAAGAATTCATAATGTGTACTAATATGTCGAGCCTGCATGGCTTGTCGCAGCTTCTGGACAAACTAACTAACCTTTTCTACTGTTCACCCGTCTGTTGACCTTATTAATTATTCACTTGAAATCTTGGTTGTTTTTATTTTTCAATGCGTATGTGCATTGTTTACTTGGCTGATCACATGTCTGACTATAAGTACTTAGTGATGCCTCATCACATCGGGTTAGTCCAGTAGCCTTATCCGCTTCACTTTGCTTCGCATTCTTTTGTCTATATCCTTCAATGAATGTATGCAATAAACTTATTCACTTAACCGTATTGGGCTTTTATTAACTGTCATCGCTAAAACGGCGCTCGCCTAATAAGATAAAGTTTTATTTCATGGAATATTCAATTGTTCGTCCGACTTGTAATCCGATACCGTGTCACTAAAAATTTCCAATTGTTGCAGATCCGATTACCTACCTGTCTCAACAAGACTGAGAATTGATGAAATCCATTTTCTTGTAATTCAATTCTAAAATGTATTTATTAAACTGATATGAATTATTCAACATTGTATTTAGCAAAAGTAAATTCAAGGCAGTGTAATATTTTTTTCAAGAGAATATTAACATCAATACTTGAGTGAAAATTAAGAATTCTCATCAAGGTTTCCATTTATCTCATTAGATTAACCTCAAGCGGATGAATTCATTTTGCGTTATAACATATGATCCAAATGATTAACCATGATCTCTTATGCATTTTGTTCATTTCAAGCTTCTTTTTGTCTTGAGTCGCAGAACTCATATTTATTTGATGATAGTTTTAATCACAAACTATGATCAAGTAGAAGGTCGGGAGCATTGACCAACAGTTTTCATCTTGATTAATAACTTTTCCAATATATTCAATTATATCATTAGATAAAATCTAATTCATAATCGTGATTTTTTTAAAGAGTGAATGATTTCATACAGTGAATATTTCATACTTATAGATTCATTAGTTTTGCAATTTCAACTTTTCATTTTTTCCACCGTGCACTTTTTTTTTTCATTGTATAATTATCAAACTTTGTTTCTATTGAAAAATTTCGCTAATTTTTCAACTTTTTGTTGTTGTTTTTTTTATTTTAGGTACGATTAAGTCACAAAAATCAATAACTATTTCTGCTGTTATTTTCTTCTTGTCTGCAATAATAATCCTTGCAGCTTGTACATTCACATTCTTTTTGTTACAAAGTTTAGTAAGTGTTTTTCTTTTGCACTGTCGTTATTTTATTATTCAATGTTTGACGACAATAAGATTACTACACAGTAGTGCGATTATGGCTAGCAATGGAAACCATCAAAAACTTGTTAAATAGATGAGTCTACATCCTGTTGTTGATGTTCACACAATGACTGGAACCCATTACCTTTCCTTGAGGGACCTCAAATAGGATGAGATATGCATTACGGATCGCACCGCTGGCGAAAATCGATCTTTTTATGTAAACTGTATTCCTCATATGACGTGCAAAGGTCATCTAAGACTGGTTGTCATTCAATCCCTAATGTCAAAACCATTATAATTCAAAACTTTTTAAACTGAATAACATGATTATTGTTTCAGTTGTGAATGAAACTAAATCACTTCCTATTTGTTAATATCACATTTATTCGATAGATTTAATTTTGTTTATGTAATCTTACAATCTCAACCGTTAATCTTGATATTTATATTGTTAAATAAAACTAAACCTATGAGTTAAATAAAATTAATTCAAAACAAAAAACAATTCACGTGTTTAAATGATACTTATGCATATTGAAACATCGATCATTTAGTAATGTTAGTTCAAAAAAAAAACAAAATTAACTCATCAGTTGCTATCTTACTAAAAATAAAAAATAAAAACTTGCTGATTTATACATAAACAGAATCCTAAAAACATGTTGTGCTGATGTTGTAAACTGCATTTCAATTTTGTTTCACTGTCTATTGATGAGTGGAATCAACAAACTGCAATGAAATGTTTACTGTGCCTAACTATATTACCGATATTTCATAGTATAAATTAAATAACTCAAAAATTCCAGAATAATATTTTTACGATACATATTGAATGTACAATGTAATTTGTTACATTTAAACAATATTTAGTCATCAAAATTTTCATCTTTAATTATAAAAATAGTAAATAAATGAACTGTCTAAAAAATTATTAAAAATATATTTTGTGAAAATATTGTACATGATCAAAACTATAATTAATCTATTTGAATTAGTTACATATAATGTAGTTCATTTTTATAATAAAAAAAAAATTATTAAGAATTATGCCTAGTGAGTATTCTCTCTTATACACTTTCATTTACTCATTTCAATCTTTCGAAATATTTATTTTCTATTTACCTACTTATAAAATCTTAGAATTGAAGTTATTTGTTCTCATATTTTTTTTTCTCATTAAATTGTTACATATATATAATTAAAAAAAAAGCTTGTACTAATGTTAAATAATCTATTTGAAGAGTATTATTTCATAATTATTCACTCAAAACTCGTGTATTATTTGAATCAGGAGTTGCTCTTTATATAACATTCAATTCAAATTTTTTTGACTCTAACAAGCTATTTTGTAATCATTCAGTAATTAACATTATTGTTTAATTGTTAAGAGTTTGTCGACAGAAAATCCTGTTCGATTTAGGTTTCGTGCCAGCAGACAATCGTCAGTAAGACATACTTCCAATCTCAAAGTAACTAACGCTTGTTAAATGCCTGGAAACTCCCTCATTCATAATTAGCCTGAAACAATACCATTAAGTTATGTGGCTAGTGAATGATCTCCTGTAGAACAAATATTGTCAGTTGACAAGTCCCCTAATAACATGAAACCTATTATCAGTAGATCTTCCTGCTTACTAAATTCCACACCCCATCACATCAACCTGGTTTATGCATCTATGAGACACTTAGTTCAACCACACTGCAATCTGTTCGATAGAATTCGGTCAGTATTTAAGAACCAGACATACATAACAACGCTAGTTATTACTCAGTGACAACAAATTGTATTCTCATTGATAAGATTAGCGTGATACCAATAAACTATTAAATTCAATGTCACCAAGTTCAAATATACTTAAGTTTAGTTGATGTGCAGTATCAAACAATCTTCATTCAACTTACTGAAATATACGTTAAAAGATCAGCCTAGACAAAAACATTGAATAAACTATTGAAGTAAAAGGCTTGATCAAAACGAAACATAAATATACGCTTTTTCACAATTTTACGAGTACACCAAATTTCTATTCATGATTATTTCATCTTATTTGTTTAAGTTTATCCAATGACATTCATTTCCAAACAATCTATTTGAAATAGACGCTAGACACTTTCACTTTTGCCTATTCATAAAATATTATTTTACAGGCTGACTAACAGTTCATATATGAAAAATGCATTTATTACATGGGTAATTACTTAAAATTTAAAAAAACCTTTCCTCCTACTTCTAATATCATATCGGTAAACTTTTATTCATGATTATTATTTGCAAGGGTTTGAGTACACTGGTCACTTATAATCTGAAATTTCTAATGAACTGTTAACTGATGAGCTTCAAAACAGTTCGATACAGTCAATCAGTCAGTTACAACGTAGAACTTCCTACGTACATACATCAGTTCAGGTTGCTATACTGCATTAGCACAGAGACGCAACTGTCAGTTCAAATCTAATAATGGTATAAACAGTAACTGTAATGGAGATTAAGGTTCGAAGATATTATTCAAGAAGTATAGTTCAGTGAGATAACTTTAGAAAGAGAAGGATAAAGATGATGAAGAATGCTGAAGATTAGAATTTGATAGAATGCAAGAGTGCATTGATACACGCTTTTTGGATTTCAGCGCCAATTACTACCTAAAACGTTTTATTCTTGACAATGAGTTAATCATAATACCACACTATGTAAATATAAATATAAATAAATTTTCTTATGAACTAATATTCACTAAGTTTGACAATCTCTATTTGTATGACTATGCATATAATTGCATGTTAGCTTTAAAGTTTATCCAATTTAAATAAATGACAGGTATATTTAAAATTCTACTTTTTCAATACAAACTGTTATAATTTTGTTATTTAATATAAGGTAGACATATTATGTAATTGATTATTACGCAAATGCCAATATCATAAAAGTTTATAAATTTATTAAAATTAATAAGAATAATGAAATTTAACGACAATATAAAGTGCATTATGGGGTTGTGAAGATTGTTAAGTTTTTTTGAAACTCCATGAATTGATCAAGTTAGACATTAACACCGTTAGATACCGGCTCAGTGGTCCGATGGTTAGGCGTTCGCGCACAATACCGAAGGTCCCGGGTTCGAATCCTGCGAGGTGCAGGAGTCGTGGATGCGCACTGCTGAGGAGTCCCATACCAGGACGAAACAGCCGTCCAGTGCTTCCAGGTTTCTAATGGTGGTCTAACATTGGTCGATTCATAGTATCAAAAAAAAGATAATATAAAGTGTAACTTTTTATATCGAAAGAAAAAAATCTATGATTATGTTAAAGATAACACTTTAAATTAATGCATTGAAATAAAATTCATGCCATTGAACAGTGAATTAAAACAAAATATTTCGATTTTTTATACCGTATTTTAATTTTACTGTCAAGTTCTGCATAAAACATTACTATTATTTTAAACAAGGAATGTAAAATGATCATTTTTTCATTTCACAGTCTCATTGACTTTAGCGGCAGAATTGTATCATTACTCACAATGAAATACCACCAATAAAAATGTATCATGATTACTGGACTAGAAGATGTAAAGTGTTCAATATTATAATGTGATTCAACTGGTGATATTTAATTTTTTTCAAAAAAAAATAGTAATTGATTTGATTCATACTATGCATAAGCATTCATCGTTGCAATATACATAGTATTGAGAAATATATGAATAAAAATGACAGAGCAATGGCTGATAAATCATACTTTTATTCACATTCAGTTTCAGATAGTTTTATGCATAGTATTGTATATCTTTCTGCCATTTTAAAAATAAAAATGTTTTTTTAAATTAATGTAATTATCTTGTCTGTTTATATCATTGTGTTGTGAAATTAACTTTGTTTTGCACATAATTCCAATTGTTTACTCACATATTCTTCATCAATTGGTGTGGTAAAATAAAAAAATTCCAAGTTTTTTTTAAACACTAAGAAAAATATTACTGCTGAAATGTATGAATATTTTGTATTTTACATGAAATGAGATCTACCTACCAGGTCATTTTGTTTTCATTTGCATTCATGTAAAACGAAACATTTAAGAGACTATCTTTATTCCTATTATCTTACCAGTATATTTCTAATGTTAGTAGGGAAATTGGATTGTTACTCTAGAAAACAGTTTTGCATAAATCTGACCCAAAATAGTTGGATACATGCTATTTTAAATTAAAAAAATAGGAATACGGATAAGGCAGTCACAGAATGTTGCATCGGTAAAAAAATCAATATGAATAAACACATCTGCTTATTGATAAATCGGTATATATCATTATTGGGGACGTCAGATCCCCACAACTCACTTGGAAAAGGTCCTAATTCAGGATTTTTGTGTTTTTGCGCATAGACTGCTCAGCTGACCTTGCGTTTACATTTCCCACTCGGAACATCCTTGACTGTCATTTGGCCGATGTATTATTTTAGTACGCTATTTGTGTGGCTCTGCCAAGGACGTCTCTATCATGTATAAATAAGCTCTATTTGTGTGCTTGTCAACCTCGTATTTTCTGGGTGCTTGTAGCATACACCTTCTACGCCTTATCAAGACTTTTTGCTATTTAAATTTAAAGCAAATTTAGGCATTAAAATTTGAATTTTCCCATGTTTATGCAAAATTTGCGAATCACTATCATGTTACACAGAAATTCCAATCAGTAATGAAGGAATCCAACTTATCATAAATAAATTTTTCCAACGATATCAAAATAGTCAGTTGATTGAAGCTAAAAACATTTTGAGAGTCAAGTTCCTGCTATACCTATTTACTTTACGTGATGTAAATAGAATGAAAAATGGATTATAATTTAAACAGACGCCAGCATTATTTTTCATCATAATGGATACCATTAACGGTGTATCTGTCATAGGTATTCATGTAGACCATCATATTCATCTTTCACCACACAATACTCAAGCGAATTTATGTATATTTTAAATATTAATTCATTTCATTTCATTTTTATGCAAAAAAACGTAATTCTCATATCATCTTATTGAGTAAAGTAACATAAAAACTGCCTTGGACATACTTTTTCACATGCATTTATTGCAGTGCCGCTCTTTGGTTTTAAGCTTTCAATGAAGCTTAACTATTGTAAAAACTTTGAATAACTGAAATCTATCCATTAATTTGTGTTATTTCTATTTAAATTATGTTCAATAAAAGCCAACAGTTTAACCATAAACCTCAAGTGATATTATACTGTAGATAGAATGAATATACATTTTCCTCAATATAATATATCATCCCTTTAGAAAGAATAACCTGAATCTATCTGTTACTTTTTACAATATGACAGTTATACTGGAGAAAATGATTTTCATTTGACTAAACTAGCACACCCAATACTTACTACCCTAGTTCAAAAATAAAAACAGAGTATTTTACAATTTATCCACGCTGAAGCATCTATTTTCAGAGAATAGAAACTATGTTATTATAGAGTAAGCTGACAACCAGGAAAAAAGAACCGTTATATAGTGATTCAGTGACTGGTAAATCACCATTTTATTTCAGTTGAAAACAGAACAACTTTATGGAAATTAATTAGTGTATAACATATCCTGTTCATGATCTCTAAATCATATGATTCTTTATTCTATCTAGAAAATTTTAAAAAGTTTAGTTAATTAGACAAACTGTGAAAGTACGAAAAAAAAATGCTTGAATTGAAACTAAACTTTTTGTGACGAGAGATTGTAGTCAACATTTTTCGAAATAATAAGTTTATTCATTGTTTTTTTCTCGAAGGAAATCCGATTTTCCGGTTTTCATTTTGAATTATGCTAAAAAAATTCAATGTGGAGATAGTTTGGTTTTCGTTCCCTAAAGTATAATAACCCTTTTTTTCCGCGTAAACTTTTTATGTTATGTTTTATTTTGTTATATTTTATGATATTAAAAATAATTTTGATTTGAATTTTCATCACTCACTGATATTAGAGGAAATAAATAATCTAACATGGAACTGTACTGGTTATTGTGTAATTGTGCACGCATACAACTTAGTAGTGTATGTTGTATGCTATTAACATTTTCCACAATGGATCAAATCCTAAATCTTTTTATTTAAAAGTATTTAAGTTTTCTCCCTGTTAATGTCAGTTTTGTGACGAATGCTAACATGGAGTTGACCAAATCAACACAACCGCTCTCTAGTCCTTACATTGTTCTCTTCAGAGATGACTATTAATTTAATGATTTTGGTGTTATGATACATAAAGTTTACAAAATATTTTTAAAAAAGTTAAATAAGCTGATGATTCGATATAAATTAATAGGTTTTTTCTCTCATCGTCCCAACTTCAAACTGGTACACAAGTCATGCTAATTCTAACTATCAATATTGTTAAGCTTTATTCTTATTATTGATAATAAGTCATTGCAAATATTATAATGTACAACTAATATGCATTTCGTAAAAATTTGATTATTTTCATATGAACTGACAGACAGATACAACGCAGAACTTCGTACGTAAGTACATCAGTTCAGGTTGCCATACCACAACAGAACAGAGATACAACTGTCAGTTCAAATCCAAGAGTCATAGCGGTAGAAGAAGTATTAGAAGTAATGGAGAAGATTAGGAAGCGAAGATATGATTCGAGAAGTATAATCCAGTGCGATGAATTTAGAAGGAGAACGATAGAGATTATGAGGAATTTTAGAAGGTTAGAATTCAACTCGTTGATCGAAAAGTTTTTCAGATTGAAATAGTTATTAGACTAGATGTTTAGAGAAAATACTGTTAAAATTACTTTATTCATGATGATTAGCACCAATATAGTAAACTTCTGGTAATGAACACATCGAAAGACTAAATCAATGCTGTTTGTACAATCGATTGCTGGATTTGACTTTAGAAAAGTACGGCTGTTATTTTTATTTCAATCACTTTTATATTGTTGAATTGTATTAAATTTTATCATTTCATAATGTCAGTTGCAGTCTACGAGAATTTCAATTTCAATCTCTTGTCCAAAATTTGAACAGATTTTTTATATAGACATTTTTCGGTTGTTGTTGTTTTTTTTTCTTCCTCAATAGAAATTTGTTCGTTATTATTGTAAACTGCGTCAATGTGACAATCATATAAACATATCAGAGAAATTTCATAATACCATTGAAATCAGTTCTACTTATACTACTAATACAAATGCTAATACCAATAATAATAATAATAATAATAATAATCATGATAGTAATAATTACCGAGAAAAAACAATTCCTACACATTTATTATCATCATTACCAAAAGACTCAATTGAAAGTCAACAAATTGTAGATGATTATAATTCACAAATTAATCAATTAAGTGAATATCATGAAAATGATTGTGATGTGAATCCAGCTGAACAATTGTTAAATTCAAATTATACTAAAGAACAATCAACTCTATCAACAATGGCTAGTACAAATACACATATGACCAGTCAATTGATAATTGATCAATGCAATAATGACAATAAAGAACACTTATTGAATGGAATAAAGAAATATCGTACTGTACAGATTAGTGATTGGTATATATTTCGAAATTGTTTTGGTCTATGTTGTTTTAAACCAGTAAGTTTTTAAAAACTCCCTTTAACATCCTTTCATAGTTGTTTACTTGTTTGTTTGTCATTTATTTTTTTGATTATGAGATTGTGAATAGATTGTTTATTAAATTTAGAGGAGAATTTTTAGTTTGTAGAATAATTTAAACAAAGCCATTGTGAACTTACAATCTTTAAATTGTTAAACATTTCATCATTGAAATAATTGGTATCCATAAGTCACATTTTTTTCTGCAAGAAAGTTTAAACTTCTCCTAACTGAGTTACTGGTACATACAAAATCATTATTGGAATAGGAGAATATACTTTAGATGATGTACTAACATTAACCAAACAACAAGAATCAATAAGCCATACGTAACACATGTGGTTGGGACATGTGTTACGTATGGCTAACCACCGACTACCGCGACGAGCTATGTTTTGCAGTGTAGGAGTAGATTGGAAGAAAGCTAGCGACGGCCAAACTAAAACGTGGCACAAACCCATGAAGTCACCGACAAGTGGACTAAGTCATGTTGGTAGATGTAGGCTACCTGGTTGGGGTCCGCGAGACAATAGTCACCGATGGTTAGAGACCTTAAATGACATGGCTCAGAATGGTTTGAAGTTGCGTAGGTGCGTCCACTCTTTGTGTTCTATGAAATTCTAAGCTTCTGAATTCCTCATAATCTCTATCGTTCTCCTTCTAAATTCATCGCACTGAATTATACTTCTCGAATCATATCTTCGCTTCCTAATCTTCTCCATTACTGCTAATATCTCCACTATCGCTATCAGTCTTGGATTTGAACTGACAGTTGTATCTCTGTGCTGATGGGGCATGGCGACCTGAACTGATGTACTTACGTACGAAGTTCTGTGTTGTATCTGTCTGTCTGTCTGTTTTCTAATAAGTGGTAAAAATGAACTTTTCAACGGTGAAGAAAATTTCGAGCTTAGATGTATGATTGTGATGGAGTTTCGTTCTGTGAATTGGATATTTTGCAATCCTCAATCTTTTTCAATGATTATCTAACTAATACAAATCTGTAAATAAATACTATTATTATCAAATATTTATTTATCAATAGTTAAAAAATAGTTTAAACACTTATTTCCCCGTTGTATATTTTTTATGACATTAACTTTTCGGAATAGAAGACAGAGCTGACTATCAAGTATGATTTTGACTGTTCATAACAAAAATATGGGATTTTGATTTTTTATTTTAAAATATGATAAATCTGATAATACAAGTTAATTCACATTTAACTGTATGAAAATCGTAAACACCATAAAGAAAACGACTATTTAAGTAGTATCGTTTTAGTGTTATGAATGTTTTATTTGTAAAATTGGAATTGAAATCAATCTAATCATCATAACGTGAGTTTCTTGTTCAATTGATGAGAAGCATGTTACAGAACCCGAAGATTATTTTAGCCGTATAATAAATATTCTTACTAAAAATAGCTCAGAAATTCTGTTTTCAATCAATAACTTCTGGTATTTGATAAAGCTTCATATATTTCATCACAGTCATTCAAAAACGATGTATAAGTTAAATAAGAATTTGTTTTGACCATATGTTACTAATTCATGTCAACGTAATTAAACAGATCTAACAAGATACAGATGTAGTCTCAAGGTAGTAAGTATTAGAACATTATAAAAATATATTTAGGAAAAAAAAGACAGGAAATGATTTTATCGAATCAACAGCATCAAACAGATTGGTTATTGACTAATAATAAGTAAAGACAAAACATGTTTTTTATGTCCTAAAATCAGAAAACCTAAAGAATCAGTGCACGAAAAAAGAAAATTACAAATATTTTTCATTGTCTCATAATATTTACTAATTTCATTGTCACATACATTGTAAAATATCATTTGAATTTATTTAATCTCGTGTACTTTTTACATTTAGGCACAAAAATTCATTTAAATAAATAAAAAGTTTCGTAATTACGTGTAATGTACACAAAGTAACTCTTATAACTGGATTCATTAAAAGAATAATATATTTTGTTTGTTGATTTTAATCAAATTATTTAAATTTTAAATTTTATAGTTGCTAAAATTAATTTCATTGTTATGGAGTGAGTGATCAACTTTTCATCATCTTTAGCATAATTAGAAAAAAAAAGTTTGGTTCACATTTCTAGCACTCAATTACGTCATAATCGCTTTGACTGTTGTTCTTATTTGTTTTTGGAAAAATTCGACTTGAATGAACATGAAATAAAAATTGTAGCTAATCTTAACAAAATTGTAGTTTTTTTAAAATACATTGTACATTGATTCATACAAACCAGTGCGTTCTGAAGAAAAAAACACAGTTATTTAGTTCTGATAAAAGAGAGTCATAAAACTTGTCTTAAATACTTTTTTATTCAAGCCATCATTATGTAAAGATTGTTGTATTTTTAGGGGAAATGCTTTTTTTTTTAATTACAATGAAGACTGTAATTTGACATTTTGTCTTATCTATGGTAAAATAAGGCAAGAATAAACAACGTGCTTAGTTTGTTTATCTTCTTTAGCTTATAAAGCTATGAAAAAATTTTATTCCCACATTGGAATGATCGTTAGAACATAAAGATTATGAAAAGTAAAAACAAAAATCTTTAGAAAAAGAATTAGTGTTACTCTTGATAAAATATTTTAAACTAGCTAACCATTTGGATTCTATTTTAATGATTACAAAAGTACATTTCAATGTCTTTTAATAAAGCAAAAAAAAAAAAACAAAGAGAAAAAGCCTTTGTTAAATTCTGTGTTATGAGTCCATTTCAATGAATGTACATTTCCACTGAAATGTACAATTTTTCTCGAACTTATTTCAATAATTTTCAGGCAGAGTTTTGGAGGTTTGTGTTTTTTTTAAACATTTGAAATCATCAACCGATCATTGTTAGACCACAATTAGAAATCTGGAGGCACTAGAAGGCCGTTTCGTCCTGGTAAGGAAACATCAGCAGAGCGCATCTACGACTCCTGCGCCTCGCAGTATTCCAACCCAGGACCTTCGGTATTGTGAGCGAACGCCTAACCATCGAACCACTGTGCCGGCAGATTTAAACCCCAGTACTAACAACAACTGTTCTTTCTTATCCAGCTCCATTTCATAAATCTATCATTGTTTATGTGTTATTTTTTTCAATCTACCTACAGTTTCAATGATATTAATTAAACCCCTTATTTTTTTCTAATCATACAAAGCCTGGCGGTAAACAACGTTGTTTAGACTATTGGTCAAAATACAGTTTAACTATGAAAGAATGCTGGCCTCAATGTGCAAACATTTGGTGTGTATTCTCTTGTACACTATGCATATTTCCTGCTATCCAATCACGTGTTAGACCAATGAATTCAGAATATTTTATACCACGTAAGTTATTAAATCTTGTAAACCATTTATCAGGTATTTCGTTAGTATTATTATGAGATCAAAATTTAAAACTACTTTTGTCTCAAAAAAAGTAGTATGACGTAAATGACCTTGCATATACATAAAAAAATATTTATAGTTGTAAGTCATGAGCTTTGATGTTTTTTTTAATGATAAGTAATATTATCTAGTCTAGGTATTCAAATAACTTGGGATATCGAATTCCCTTAAATCTAGCCGTTGGACAATTAATAAAATTAATTATGTTGTGTTATTGTTCGTATTGCAAATGTATTTCTCTTAAAAATACATTAATATTCAACAGTATCCAGTATGCATTACTATTGGATATTTAGGTGACTATTTATTTTACTGGTAAATTTCACCTCATAAAAATGAATGAATAAGTAAACCGAACAACTGTTTGATTACTAAGTGAGTAGAATTATTTTTTCAATACTGATCGAATTCTACCGATAACGCTTCAATAATATGATCACTGCTCTGAATAAATCAGTATAATGTGCACTATGTCTTGTTGGTAAATTTATGGCAGCAATGATCTTCACAGTTTTACACAGTCTACTTTCAATCAGAAAAATTTGCAATCATAAAATGTCGTGTTAGTAATACATAAATAATTGAAAAAAATTTACACTTCTATACATATATTCCAATTAAAACATTATACTCAAGCCTTAATCATTTACTTGTTCATAAAATCTTAATTTGTCCAATATTGATTAATTCAATCATTTAAGTGGAAAAACATTCAAAAGGATATTCTTGATGAAGAAATAATATGTGGAAAAATAAATTTTTTCAATACTTTCAAAAGATTATCGTTTTTATTTTTTGAGGACACAATAATTTAATATTAGATGCTATTGACTATAAACTGAACATCTAGTTAATAGTTGTAAGTTGTTTGATTAAATGATGTAGCTTTTCATTTGTTGTTGAACATAGAACAGATTGAATTACAATTGATAGTATCGAAAAATAAATTAACTGTTACATGATATTTTTCATTTTGTTACAATTCCTTCACTAATGAATGAACAAGTCAGATGAAATTTAAGGAGATAGACAATTTAAACGACTTTTTTTTTTACATACATTTTTGAAATTGTCGTTAGTTGTACACTGCTAGGCCTCTTTAACTAGAAAAACAAAACAGTTGTCTAAAATGCTGCTTTAGCTTTTATTTGTAATTTAAATCATGTCTAATCCTAACCAAAATTTTTTTTTTTCTTGTCATGTGTAGATTGTTTTCTCTTCCTACTTTTACAAGATCATCATTTTAGTGAGCTTAGGTAATATGCCAAAGCCTAATTCTAAATTAAACCAGTTAACTAGATGGTTTGTTGCTCTCAGTCCTACTGGAAGTCAATTACTACCCGAATGGCTTAGTAATAATATCTCAAACACTCAAGCTGAATAACCTTGGTTAAAATGCAATAAAAAGCATTGATTCCTTTGAGTTTTCAGTTACACTCACCTCGTATGAAACCTAGGTCGAGTAGGATTGCCTGTGGTCGTAGATCTAGTCCAATACTAACAGACAAAGAGCACTTTTTAAAGTTGTTCAGTCTTGGTGATTTTATGTAAGAGCTTAAACTCTCACGAATATTTCAAATCTCTCTACTTTCAGACAATTATAGAATTACGAAATGATTCGATGTCGACTTGCTTTCTGAAAATATACAAGAATATCATCAATTAGTTGTCAATCTTTCATATTTTCTCAGTCACGGAAATCTAACTTCTAGACAACTTTGTCTGAATGACTTGATTGAGAATTAGTTTATGAACTGTTACAATCACTAGAATTTAGTCCTGTTCTGATCAATACTCATTAGGATTAACTTCCGTGAATGAAGCATACACAAACTTTCTAAATGAATGTTTAATATTTTCATAATTCTGAATGCTTATTCTGTTCACCGATATGTAAACTAATATTCCTTCGGTACGATTGAATATGAACTTTTTTTATTCAATTCTATTCTATCCAAAATTTTAATTGGAGGATAGATGATAATTTAACTATGTAGGAAAAAATTAACAGTTTAATCCAAATCTCATATAATTATTCCATTTTCTGATAGTTTTTGAATAAGAAGGATAAAATTTTTAGAGCATAGACAATAATTAGAGTTATAATCATTTACAAAATTTTAAAATATCTACAAAACATTGACAGTTTTTATTCATGATCACATGTAATGATTCAGATTAATTCAACTATTTATTTCTTGTTTATGATAATAGTTGTTATTAGACAGTTCAATGTTCAATGACTTCTTTTATGTTATAATTTTATTATTCTAGCTCTCTGGTTTGTTGATGTGACTTGTTTCTTATTTTTCAATGTATTTGCAATGTTGGGATGTATTCTATGCAATTGGATACAATTTGTAAGTGAATTAATTTTACGGCATTATTTTCATTTCATTTCAATTTTATTCTATTTCAAAACAATGTAGAATTCATTATTATGTTTTAGTTTATTATTTATCTAGGAATTTTAGAATATCTAATAGATTTACTATTTGAAGCATTTTATAAACAATTCATACAATAATGCTTGACTATTCTGGGAAAACTCTTAGTGAAAGTTGTACTTAAATAGCCTTTGTTTAATTAAAGTTTGACAGAAAAAATTTCCACGGATTTATAAATGGTTTTCAGTAGAAGATACTTTCGACTAGATATCAGCACTTTATTCACATAAAATAATCAAACTATCTTAGCGAATTCCTAATGTCTTGTGATGATTTGATTTTTAAAATGGTACTCATAGATATCTAAAACAAATAGCTTCCAAACTATCTATTTCCAACCATTTACTTAGATATACCTCATATTGTTGTATCACTTCACCAACATCAATATTACTACTAAAGATAATCGAATTATATCACAGTGAATAGCCCATGAACTGATTTTTGGGCTTTGGAAACACGATTCATCATGCTGATGATATCTTTTTATGGTAGTAATACAATAGTATAACGATTTTGTCTTGCATTCCTTATAATTAACTGATTGGAGTGTGTAACGATATAGTTGAAATCGGTTTTATTATTATTATTATTGTGAATATCATTATCGAAATTCATGCTAAATCATAAAAACTAGTAACCAAACTATAAATTATTATCTAGAAAGGAGGGAATGAATTCAAATAATTCTAATTATTCTTTTTCATATTTTGTTTGTTTTAAATAGCCAGGACCACGTTATTTATGGATTCCTGTATTGTTACGTACCATATTCTTTATTCCATTCTTTTTATCATGTAATTTTGGGATTGAGAATCCTCACCTAACTGTTCTAATTACAAATGATCATATATATGTATTAGGGAGTATTCTCTTTGCTTTAAGTAACGGGCATCTTGCATCGCTTGGCTTAATGTATGCACCAAGGTAAGTTACTATTATGTTAACGATTCTTCAACGCTAAAAGTCTTCGTTCTGTTATTTGATTAAGATTATAGTGCTATGATACAGTCAATGGTTGGAAGAGTTAGTCGTCGCTCGAAAAATGATCTTATAAAGCCTGAACCAAGGATGTCATGCTCACTATCTTCTAAGGATGAGGCTGTATTTTTACGAAAGTGAAAGTACAAAAACTAAGTTCGTAGATTCTGTGAGTTCACCTGTGGAAGTTGGTATATGAGATCCATTAACATAGAGGAAACGAACGGGTTACTTTGTACTGCATTTCTTGACGTTCTTCCATCTCCTTGTGGATTAGATCTCTGAGTCAAAAGTTGAGGGAGTGGCTGGCTAAAGAACCATCTGTTTAAGCGTTCGGATAGTGACCCTATCCAGAGACAAATCTGACAATAACTAATTGTGACTACATATTTATATCGTTTTATGAACTTAGTCCTCTAATCAAATGATACTCACATTGACGCTATCGCAAAAGAATTTATTTTACTCATTCAAATTTCTATCGTTTCGCTCCCCCAACTCATTCACCAGCTTGTCTCCGTTGAGAGTTCTGTCCTAAGCTAAACGACCTCAAGTATAAAAACGGTCCGTTTTGTGATTGCTATTACCGAATAAGAACCCGGATAAGGCTTTTCTCAATCCCTGTTTACAGTCTCAACTAGTCTCTTCTGAAAGATGCTGTAAGTGAAACTGAGGATTCGAATACGTGGATCATGATTTCTGGCACAGAGAGTGGTGCATTGGCTGACCGATGTGAAATTTATGGTCATAAATCAAATACTGTTACCGGCCTCAACACTTTTGGGCACATCAGCACCAGTTTCTGACTAGCACCAACTTTCTGCTCAGTCATCGCTGAAAAACTACCAAGGGTCTTAACTCTGCAACTCAAGCCTAGACTTTATTTTTCGATTGGCTACCACTAATATGGATGTACATACTACTGCTGCTCCTTTTGGAGTACTTATACAGATTCTAACAATGGCCCAGTTTGATCCAATCTTGTGTTGCATTTCTGTTGTCAGTAAATGGATTGATGCATGCAAATTGCCTGTATCTTTCATCACGACCAAAAATCTAACAGAGTTAGGTTTAATCTCAACTCCGAATTCACGAAAAAGTGTTTCTTAACGTTACGCGTGAATCGTTAATTTCACAAGCATTATCTAAGGACACAAAAAACTGATGGTTAGAACATGCAAATAAGTTGACAGCGCCAACTGCATCTGGTAAATATACTTTACTGTTTAAACTTATCTCATGCATTGATATGCCAGCGACGACATATAAGTAAATAACACCCGAAAGCATCTCGGACAATCGGCCGACATTTCAAGGAACAGTTGAGCAAGTTTGTTGCTCCAGAAGTATCGATCGAACTAGACAGTGATTAACGATCCGCCTAAAGGAAAGGTGATCTGCAAGGAAGTCTAAATTATGAAGCACAACTAGTTCAGGTGACCTACTCCCTGCTCTTTTTAACGATATTCGTCAGTGAATTAACTAGGCTACTTAGAAACGTTATAGAGACAAAGTGTTCCAATATACTGAACTACAGCATTCATCGCCGCTATCTCTGAAATGGATCCACGTAATCCATCAACCGCTATCGGAGAGAGTCTACGTCAATCATGTCTAAACTATTGGCTTCTGTCATACTTCAAGGATTGTCCAAAACTCATGAAAAACCGAAACGTGCTAGTGTTAACTAATAAATCCTAAGGTACGGTGTAAATTATTAAAAGATATTAACACATGTATTGAGGTTTCTAATACTTTTCGAAACAAACAGAGAAAAGATACTTCGATTTGAGTTTTGTGAATGAATTGTAGACCCAAACTCAAACTCGTACAGTACTGCAGGTTTATCATTTTCGAGCTTTTGTTATCAGTTAGGCCTTAGCTTGTGAAAGATCTACATCTTACTTATACCATACTCAAATAGACAAGCAACTTGTTTTACTTTTCAGATGTTGTTCACCTGATCGAGCTCCTTTAGCTGGAATGTTCGGTGCATTCTTTCTAATTCTTGGAGTATTCACTGGAGTTTACGCTTCTCGAGGTCTCAATAGTCTTATATATTAATAAATCGTCATTGACGCCTAATTATAAGAGCTTTTTTTTAATATCAAGCATTTATGCACTGTAACAAATAATTTGTAAATCTTCTCTTCGTCATTACATTGAATTCTATGAAAAAAAATGAAATCATTATCCTTATTTTAAACATTGTTGATTATTTCAAACAAACCTCCCCCATTGTCATATTTTATAAGATGATTTTCAAAAAAAGTCTTCTTAACAGCAGTCTTTTACAAGTGCAACAGTTTTTTTGTTTATTGCATTTTAAATATAAACAAAAACTGGGCCATTGTCATTGCATTTTTTTGTATTTGCCATCTACTGTGTGTTTTTATGGACTTTTAGTTGATTAGCTCATAATTTTATCCATATTTCAACACTTCGGAATTTTCATATAATAAAACTAATTACTGAAATTATTTAACTTGTTTTTTCTTGATCATGAAAGTTAACTTAAAGCCATACAACAGAATCAATAATCTGAACGATGAAATTATACATGTGTAGTAGAAAAACAGAATTATTCCGTCAATTTAGCAAACTTACTGTTGTGCTTGCCACTAGCTGATATGCTTGAAACTATTACGAGTTCACATTCGTCGGTAAACGAGAGCGACACAAGTGATCCAGTGACACGATAAGCTACTCTAATCCAAGCGTCCCAAGGCCCTGCTAACGGTATCAAAAAGTCTTGATATGGTGTAGAAAGTGTATTATACAAACACCCAGAAAATATGAGGTCGACAAGCACACGAATCGAGTTTCTTTATACATCATAGAAACGTCCTTGTGAGAGCCACAAAAACAGCGCTCTAAATATCACATTAACCAATGACAGTTAAGGATTTTCATGGTGGCAAATGTAATCTCAAGGTCAAGTGATCAGACCATGAACAAAATCCAAAATTAGGACCTTTATCAAGTGAGTTCTACAGCTCTAACATCTCCAACACTTACACACTGGATAAAAGTCCATAAATTACACTTATTATATCACGATAAACAAACATTTAAGTTCAAACCCACAAGTATAAAGCTTTTAGACCATAAATTACAATCACCAATTGGTTCAATGATAGTGAATAGTATTAAGTACGGCGAAAGTTCATTCAATGTATCTTGAGCTTTTAACCCCCTAATAAAAAATAACTTTATGCTCTGAGTGTTCATATAATGTGTAAAGCACTGTAATCTTTAAAATTTAGTTTAAACTTTTCCTATAGTTCTACAGTAGATTAACTTACTGAGAAGTGACAAAATTTCAACTCATGAAAACTATTTTGTTCCAACCAATGTTAATCAGTCGCAGCACGATTACATTGCGTTTCAGGTGATATGCGCTGCCGTTTCTTCATAAAAGACAGAATTCAGATACTTGGTAATCATGCATTAACTGAACACATAACTAGTAATCGATCCGATCGCAAGTATGAGATACAGTGAAAATTAGCAAAAAAAGCCGAAGATTTTTTCACAAATTGTATTCGATTTAAGGTAATTAGAACTAGGATTGATATACTGCAAGTTTCGAAAATCTGTGTCAAATCAAAGCTCTACATTATTTATGATAATATTTATGATGCATAATCGAATATTACCAACAGAAAATTCCTCGATAATCGCTCTCAACAAACTATATCATGACAATTAATGGGTACGTTCTGTAGCTAATCATACAACAGTGCTCCAAAAAATGCATATATATATATATATACCTCTCTTATCTCCACGACTAACTCTTCTCACATTCAGTTATCAAAGTGCACAGCTAATGCAAACGATGCGAGTTCGCGAAACGTCGTTCCTGTTCTCCTTAAACCCCGTTCTAAACTACATGCTGGAGCATTTATTGTACGTACATTATGTCAAATAGGGCAACAGGCCTCACTAACTAGGACTTTAGGATCTAGTGCCATCGATGTGTGCTGCGTCTCGGAAACGCGCATACAGGATCCGAGTAGCATCACTCACTTGACCTCACCATGTCAAGATAAAGAAGCAACTCGATTTACCCTTCGTGTATCCGGTAGCCCTGCTGCTGCTTCCCGGGGTCTTGCTGGTGTAGGTATAGCATTGAGTCGTAGAGCAGAACAATCTCTGCTTGACTGGATCCCAGTAGATAGTCGCTTGTGCGCCGTCCGACTAAACGGGACAGTAAGGATTCGAAAGGATAGGGACACTCGTCGTTGCTTCTTCGTCATATCAGCCTACGCCCCCACTGACTGCAGTCCAGACGAGGTTAAAGATGAGTTTTACAGAAAGCATTCGGACCTCCTCCAAAAAGTTAAGCGCTCTGATGTAGTTATAATGGCTGGTGACTTTAATGCACAAGTAGGTAGACTGAGTGAAAATGAAAGACACCTAGGTGGATGTTACGGTCTCACGGCTCAGAGAACAGACAACGGCGACCGTCTGTTGCAACTGTGCTCAGATGACCAACTATTTCTAGCAAACACTAATTTTAAGCATAAGGAAAAGCACCTTTTGACCAGGCGAACCCCGAAGTCGTCTCAACGTTGGACGTAACTAGATCATATCGCCATTAGCCACCGATGGAGGGGTTCGATAGAGGACTGTCGCTCGTTCGGAGGCACTTTTTTAGATTCAGATCATGCCCTAGTGCGAGCACGTATTTGTTTGAGGCTTACTGGGCGTAGGAAAGACACCATAAGGAAGCCTCTTAGGGCTTTACTTGATGATAATCAGGCTAAGAAAATATTTCAGGAGGAACTAGAAAAACAGTTAGGCAACCACGCAAGTGATTCCCATCCAGAGTCAGGTTGGAATCATATCAAGAAGGCTGTGGAAACGGCAGTGATATCTGCTAGTAAGGTAAACCATAAGGCTAGGATGAAGCCGTGGATTTCAATCTCATCCACCGAACTGATGGATGCTCGAAAACGCACTCCACCTGACTCTGAACATGAAGAGCGTAGTCAGCTTAGGCGCAGACTTATAAAAAGCCTACGTAACGACCGTGAACAGTGGTGGGTGGCGAAAGCAAAAGCAATGGAAAAGGCAGCGGCGATAGGCAACGCTAGACAACTTTTCCGCCTTATTAAAAAAACCGGTATTAGGAACCCAAATGTGAGTGAGACTATTTCGGAAAAGGATGGTCTTATTATCCATTCTCAATCCAGGAGACTGGACCGATTGGCAGAACACTTTAGGGATCAGTTCAACTGGCCTCGAGCCACACTTCGGTTGCCCACGATCCCCAGTCATCCTGAATGGCAAATCAACGTAAGTCCCCCTAGTCTTTGTGAAGTTGAGAAAGCGTTAGGAAATCTGAAGCGAGGGCGAGCTGCAGGTCCTGATAGACTGACCCCTGAGATATTTAAGGATGGTGGTCCAGTTTTAACAGTCAGGTTGACTGAGATCTTAGGTAGAATCTGGGAACTGGACGTAATCCCATCTGACTGGTCTCAGTCGCTAATTGTCCCAATCTATAAGAAAGGACACAAGTCCTCTTGTGACAATCACAGGGAATCAGTTAAACTAATATAGTTTCTAAATTGTTAGCGTCGATTATACTTAGACGTCTCACTAGAGCTCATGAAGAGCAGACTCGAGAAAACCAGTCTGGTTTTCGACCTGGACGTGGTTGTATAGACCACATCTTCACACTACGACAGGTCCTGGAACACAGACACGCATTCAGGCGTCCTACAATAGTTGTTTTCGAGTAGTCGAGCGTGTTGACCGCTTCACTTATCTGGGGAGTCTCATCAGCGCTGATAGCCTGGTGACTGACGAAATCTCAGCACGGATACAGAAAGCTCGATTGGCTTTTGCCAACCTGCGTCACTTATGGCGTAGGCGTGATATCCGTTCGCTAACCAAAGGACGGGTGTACTGCGCATCAGTTCGCTCTGTCCTACTATATGGATGCGAAACATGGCCGGTAGGAGTTGAGGATATTCGTACGTTATTAGTATTCGATTATAGATGTCTCCGAATCACTGCTCGTATATCCTGGGACAACCGAGTAAGCAATGCTGTCGATAGGAAACGGGTGCTAGGTAAGGATGGCAGATCAATAGATGAAGTGGTGAAACTTCATCAGTTGAGGTGGTTGGTACATGTGTTACGAATGCCTAACCACCGACTGCCTCGACGAGCTATGTTTTGCGATGTAGGAGTAGGTTGGAAGAAAGCTAGGGTTGGCCAAACCAAAACATGGCAGAAATCCGTGAATTCACTGAAAAGTGGACTGAGTCATGTTGGTAGATGTAGGCTACCTGGTTGGGGTCCGCGAGACGAAAGTCACCAATGGTTAGAGACCTTGAACGACATGGCTCAAAGGCGCAAGTGCATCCATTCTTTGAGCTCTCTCCAATCCCAATCTTCTGGATTCGTCAGCACCTCTACCTTTGTCTTTCTAACCTTATCCCACTGAATTATACTTCTTGAATAATATCTTCAAACCCTAGTCTTCTTCGTTACCATTAATACCTTTACTATCTTTATCACTATGAGATTTGATTTGACATTTGCGTCTCTGTGCTAATGTGGTATGGCAACATGAACTTATGTACATACGTACGAAGTTCTACGTTGCAACTGACTGACTGACTATTGGTAAATACAATAACGTCATCCATTTGTATCCTTCAAACTAGCAACATACTCTGTTACTACATCGTAACGATAGACTGTAAATTCCAAGTTTTAACGTGTAAAATAAGCGTAGTCAGTTAGATATGCCAAAGTATAAGTGAAGATTCTTCGTCCCAAAAGTCACTCTATTTTTCTACACCAAAGCAAAATAAATAATGAAGTATACTATAAAAAATCAAAGATAAAACAGTCTAAATAAGTTGCAATTTCTTTGCTTCAGGATCGAAAAATAGACTATGTTGTACGATTGATATCAAGTGTTATAACCGATTGACGTCTATTTAGCTGAATTATTGAAATAATCAAGAAGCTTGTTTACTATACATCTTAACGTATTGTTACGAACATGATTAGGCTATTGTTGAAAGTAACGTGGCTTACTAACGTGACCTACCATTTTGATGTGTCGAAAAGGTTTCACATTTTTTAAGACAACTACTCGTTGCAATAACAGAAAAAAAATAAACTAATAACTCTCAAAACATTTATTATTCAAAATACACTTAAATTAACAACCGAAATGAGAAACATGTAAACAGAGTAGGTAATGAAGAAGGGAAACAAAACTGTTGTGTCATGATCACTAATAATATTGAGATTAATATCTAATACTTTGTTACGTAAATAAAATGTACTGTAATTGCTCAAAGTCATAGAAAACAGTAATATATATATATATATATATATATATATATATATATATATCATGGGAATACAATGTAAATCTTGTCTGTTATACCTTTTTATATAATACTGAAACTTTTATACGTCATAAAAGCTACTGGCATTTACAAAAATAATGCTGCTCAATAATGAATGAGACTAATACTACTCAATGATGACAGAAATGTTTTCTTGATAAACTATGTCTTAATTGCCAAAAAAAAGAGAGAGATGACAAGAAATAGGATAGTTTTACAAAATTTTAAGAACACGAGAAGCGGCATATTATACACTTGCGGTTTTAGCATTTTGTAAAAATGAAGAAAAGACAGAAATATTTTCCTTTCATTACAGTCAATGTGTGGGTTGTTGTTTTCGTGTCATCAATCGCTGATAGCCATGCGGAAAACAAGGTACTTTTAATTTGTTTTTTTTTTAAAAGATTAGAAAAACAATTTTAAAAAATACACAGAATCAAATGATTTACATTTTAAAACAAGGACTTCTTTTTCAATGTATACACACAATAGATCAGAACAGTTAAAGCTGAAGAGAAATATTACACAACTGATATATATATATATATATATATATATATATATATATATATATATATATATATATACAGTCAATTTTTCCACACTATTATAAATAAACAGTAAAGTTACAGAAAACATAAGGAATCAATAAGACAGGAATCAACAACAGAGATGAAAATAGAGAAAATTATTATACAGTTAATATTGTCATACAACTGTGCAAAATAATAATTATAATAATAATAATAATAACAATTCATGAGTGAAGAAAAATCTAATTGTCTTGTTACAGATAGTTTTCTTATCAAGTCTACCATTTTATGATGCTTCATTTTGTTTTTGTTTTCAAACAAGCTTTCATGCATAAATCTCTTAATTGATGTGCAAAAACTACTGGCAGACAGACGACTATTGGTGATGGGCAGAGAAACCGGCGTAAAATTACTTCAAATGAATGAATTAACCTTAGTGTTAAGATATCATTAATAACAATCACTGAATACAATCAACGAACTGTAAAGAGGTTATAGATACTATTATTATTATTATTATTATTATTATTATTATTATTATTATTATTATAAATGAAGAGAAAATTAAGACGAATAAATAAGAATGAATGAATCACTCGATTGAATAAACAAATCTATCAATTTTGTAAGATGTAAAAAAAGGAAGGTACGAAACAGCGAAATCAAAACCGGGATTTATTCATATGATTAAACTAATACATTTGAACATTAATATTAGACTGATTAAACACAATCAATGAATCAATGCATTGCATAAAGAAGGGAAACTGAAGTATTGGAGTATGAGAAAATGTAAATGAATCAGCATAAACACAATTGTCTGTTTGTTTGTTTGTATGTGTATTCTTGTTTGAATTAAAAATGAAATTGAAAATTTACTATGATTGAGCGATTGAACACAATGAAATAATGCTAATATAAGTAGTATAGATAGAATTAAGTAAATCAGATGGCAGTTATGCTAAACTAACTAATTACATGAAAATTACTTGACAAAAATGATGAATTGTGTTCTCCTTCTTATTATTTTTTTTAGTGTGCTGTATTATTTTCTTGTACAAAATAATAATTATTGTTTTAATTTTTTCTCTCCGTCAGAATTTTTTTTAAACAAAAAAAAAGTTGAATCATTTTACCAATTGGATGGATTTAATTTTAATTTGTATAATTTTAATTTAAAACCCAATGACTCTGATAGTAGAGTGGAGACACAAGAAAGTAAAACTAATTTAAATATATTATACACTAATGGATTCAATGTCCAACCACATACACGAAATGGACCATCAACTTCTTTCAGCAAGCCTTCAACTAAACGTAACACTTGAAATGTAAGCATTAAATCTTCTTTTTTATGCGGTTTACTCTCCATACTTAAATATAAATTGATCTAAAATGAATTATTAAAATAAATGATAATATTTACCCCCATGATAATATGTATCATTGGTAACAATGCAAAAAAAAAAAAAAAAAATAACATGTCAACAGGTAATTGTTAAAACTATAGAAGAAATGTCGAAAATCACAAGTTTCATTTAACTTGATCACTTAATGATTAGTTCAATTAAATTTTAATGAATTAGCGCGCTACATTTGAGTTTATATAGCAAATGAATTAATAGTAATTCGAATGATGTTACAATAGAATGAAATTGAATACTTAATAAATCTAATTGATTTTGGTTATAATACATTTAGGATTTAGGATAATCCAGAAACAATATGGTTTTATAAATAACTATCATAGCATTCTTAATGCAAAAGGTCAGTGAATGAGTTATATCATTTGAATATTAGGTGAGGTAATTCCGATAAAAAGTGCAATATCTAATACTTTCAACTATCAAATTAATTTTCACAAGAGCTTACATTTCAATCATCTGAATCTATCCATATTTGTTTCCTGTGGACACTTTGCTGTACTGTAGTAAGTAGTACACATCTCAAGAGTGTCTTGACAATAATTTAATTGAATAATATTTGATGACAATATAAATTATTTCTTATAAGTATCATTTCGCATTTTCATATTTATCTTTTTTATGTGATTTACTTGTATATGAAAGATTTCAAGCATTGACAAAAACTAACCAACAACAACCTCTAAAATATATCATTGAACTAAGACATAAACTTCTTTATGAACTAATTTTAAAAAAACAATTACTACTAACAATAAATAAGATAATGATATGGTTACTTGTTGGTTTTCCACTAAAAGACCACATTATTATTTACTGTAAAAATAAACAGCGAGTTTACAATAATCTATGTTTCTATCATGTCTTATGACTTTTTGTGATCATATTCTATGATAAATTGTCCATTTGAAGAGTTTCAGAAGAAAAAAAAACGATATGCACATATTTCTTAAAATAAAATAACTAGATGTAAAAGACTATGAGCATAATTACTAAATCGTCAAACTTGCCTGTTCAGTAATAAGTACAGAGAAATTACGATATTTTTTTGTAATTTTTGTACCAAGTAAAATAAATCGATAAAGAAATACAATAATCCCAAAGGAAAGGCCCAAAATATCCCAATTAGTTAAATGAGTGAACACGCTCGTACGACTTTTTGAAAGAAGCTAAAAGAAAGAGGAAAACAGAAATTACGAAGTTGAATGTGAGTAATTGATGTCTGAAAATTATATTTCCAAAATTAATCGATTTGTCAACTTCCTGATTAAAAAAAAAAAAGAGTTTTAAGCTACATAATAATTTTAAAATTTCTCTCTCCTCTCGACAATTTTATTTCTCGAGTTACAGTAATAAGACTAAATTAAATAAGAATGGCTTTTATTTTTTATTTTATTTTATATATATAAAAAGGGACATTTAAGCTATTGTTTGTTTGGTTTCAATTCGGATTTTATGATAACGAATCATAATAACTAATAATAATAATAACAATAATAATAATAATATTCCATATACATAAAAGTTTAATTTAAAGACAAGAAGACGAACATGTATATCCATTAAGTGAATATAATAATTTAATGCAGAAATGATGAAGATTAAAACAACAACAACAACAACAACAAAAGTAGAATACAGTTTTTTTTTCTTACTTGAGCGCATAAACTAAGACCAAGTGTAAAAACAATATAAAATGCTGTAGTCATAATATGCTCAACTGAACGTTGTGGACCACGTTTTTTCAAATACGATCGAAGCATTAACCAACATTTTATATGACCAACTTTATTTAAACGAAATTGTGGTACACGATATTTCAAAGCACGACGACCAGATGTTAAAGAAAAGAAATATTTGGCATAAAGTAAACGCTAAAAAAAAAAGAATTAAAAATGTGTTAATTAGAGTAATTAAGTAATTTATGTACAAGAAAAATTATTTATAAAAATCTAATAAGTGATTTACCTCTTGAAATGTACGCTCAGCAATGCATAAAAGAAAAAACACTGTGCCGTAAACATTGAAGCGTAATATAAATCCAATGAAAATGACCAAACGTCCTCTAAACACAATAAAATAGAAAGAAAAATGAAATCAGCTGACTGTTATTATGAATAGAATAATGCCGAAAGAAATGGCATTTAGGTTATTAAAAAGGCAACATCAAATAAGTAAAACTATATTATCACAATACAACTTGTAAACTTAAATTACAGTGAAAATAAAAAGGATTATTTAACAACATGCAGATTTACATTTAAGCGTAAATCAAATAATTATGACAAAATGTATGAATGAAATCATCTGATGATAGATAGATAGCATTTACGATACTACCGTTAATATGTATAAATATATAGAATACAGAACTCTGCCAGTAGAACCTTAGGGGCTACTGCCGGTCCCAAGCCCGGATAAAGGAGGAGGGTTGGACATGGGGTTGGCGACCCCATTCCGTCGAAATCTAACTTGCAAAAAAAACGCTAACCAGAAAAAATAATCCAAACCATTTTAACTCTGCCCTGGGAGTTGGAAGAACAATTATGACGTCGCGTGATGAAAGCCGAGTTCCCTCGGAAGTCACGGGGCCGATGCCTCTTCTGACAACCAGAGCAACCATTCTTTTAGGTACATGGAATGTTCGTACATTGTGGCAGACTGGAAGACTATTTCAAGTTGCGGCACAAATGAAAAGATACAACCTCGAGGTGCTTGGAATCAGTGAAACACATTGGACACAGGCAGGACAACTGAGACTAGCTTCAGAAGAACTGCTGTTATACTCTGTTTATGAAGAGGAAAATGCTTCACATACACAAGAAGTTGCACTGATGCTGTCCAAACATGCACAAAAGGCACTGATAGGATGGGAATCTCATGGGCCGAGGATCATTAAAGCATCCTTCAAAACAAAGAAAGAGGACATTACAATGAACGTCATCCAATGTTATGCACCTACCAATGACTACAATGACGACGTTAAAGATCAATTCTACGAAAGGCTGCAGTCAATCGTCGATAAATGTTCACTAAAGGATTTGACGATTCTTATGGGAGACCTAAATGCCAAGGTTGGCATGGACAACACTGGATATGAAGACATCATGGGACGACATGGACTGGGAGAAAGGAACGAAAACGGTGAGAGATTTGCAAACCTATGTGCCTTCAACAAACTGGTCATCGGTGGCACAATATTCCCGCACAAACGCATTCACAAAGCCACATGGATTTCACCGGACCACACTACTCAAAACCAAATTGACCATATCTGTATCAATAAAACGTTCAGAAGGACTATGGAGGATGTGAGAACCAAGAGAGGAGCTGATATAGCTTCAGATCACCATTCGCTGGTCGCCAAAATGAAACTGAAGCTAAAGAAGCACTGGAAAACGGGGCAGACAACATCACAGAAGTTCAATTCGGCCTTTCTTCGGGATACTGTAAAGCTCAACGAATTCAGGACAGCCCTCACCAATAGGTTCCAGGCCTTTCACGATCTACTCAATGGAGAGGAAGCAACATTGGAGTACAATTGGAAAGGGATTAAGGAGGCAATCACTTCAACATGTCAGGAGGTCCTTGGTCGCAAGAAGCAGCATCACAATGAATGGATCTCTGTTGATACTCTCGTAAAAATTGAAGAAAGGAGGAACAAGAAGGCAGCAATCAATGTCAGCCGAACAAGAGCGGAGAAAGTTACCGCACAAGCTGCATACACAGAAGCAAACAGGGAAGTGAAGAAGAGCATCAGAGCTGACAAACGAAAATATGTGGAAGATCTAGCAATGACGGGGGAAAAGGCTACAAGAGAAGGAAACTTGAGACAATTGTACGAAACAACAAAGAAGCTCGCCGGAAACTATCGTAAACCAGAACGACCAGTGAAAAGCAAGGAAGGCAAAGTAATCAGTAAACACTGAAGAGCAACAAAATAGGTGGGTAGAGCACTTTAAGGAACTCTTGAATTGACCAGCTCCACTGAACCCACCCAACATCGAAGCAGCATCCACGGATCTCCCAATTAATATTGGCGCACCTACGATTGAGGAGATCAGTATGGCCATCAGACAAATCAGGAGCGGCAAAGCAGCAGGACCAGACAACATTCCAGCAGAGGCAATGAAAGCAGACGTAGAAGCAACTGCGAAAATATTTTACATCCTCTTCAAGAAGATTTGGAATGAGGAACAAGTAACATCAGATTGGAAAGATGGATACCTGATCAAAATACCAAAGAACGGCGATCTGAGCAAGTGTGAGAACTACAGAGGCATCACTCTTCTTTCAATACCAGGCAAAGTCTTCAACAGGGTATTGTTAAACAGAATAAAGGACTTCCTATACGCTCAACTTCAAGATCAACAGGCAGTATTTCGTAAGGATCGATCGTGTACTGAACAAATTGCTACATTACGGATCATTGTGGAACAATCACTTGAGTGGAACTCACCAATCTACATCAACTTCATCGACTACGAGAAAGCATTTGATAGCGTGGGTAGGAAAACACTGTGGAGGCTTCTTCGACACTACGGTGTGCCCGAGAAAATAGCCAACATCATACGGAATTCTTATGATGGATTCGACTGCAAAATCGTACACGAAGGACAGCTAACAGACTCTTTCGAGGTGAAGACCGGTGTCAGGCAAGGTTGCTTACTCTCACCCTTTCTCTTTCTCCTGGTCATCGACTGGATTGTGAAGACGTCAGCACCCGAAGGGAAGCACGGTATCCAATGGACAGCTAAGATGCAGATGAACGATTTGGACTTCGCAGATGACCTGGCTCTTCTATCGCACACGCAACAACAAATGAAAGAGAAGACGACCAGTGTAGCAGCAGCCTCTGAAGCAGTAGGTCTCAACATACATAAAGGAAAAAGCAAAATTCTCCGATGCAACACAACATGCACCAACCAAATCACTCTTGATGGACACGGCTTGGAGGACGTTAACACCTTTACATATCCAGGCAGCATCATCGACGAGAAAGGTGGATCCGATGCAGATGTGAGGACGCGGATTGGCAAAGCAAGGGCTGCATTTCTACAGTTGAAAACTATCTGGAACTCCAAACAACTTTCAAACAAAACCAAAATCAGGATTTTCAATACAAATGTCAAGACAGTTCTACTGTATGGAGCGGAAACTTGGAGAACTACGAAAGCCATCATCCAGAAGATACAAGTATTTATTAACAGTTGTCTACGCAAAATACTTCGGATCCGTTGGCCAGACACCATCAGCAACAACGTACTGTGTGAGTGAACAAACCAGATTGCAGTGGAGGAGGAAATCAGGAAGAAGCGGTGGAAGTGGATAGGACACACACTACGAAAAGCACCTAACTGCATCACGAGACAAGCCCTTACATGGAACCCTCAAGGTAAAAGGAAAAGAGGAAGGCCAAAGAACACATTACGCCGAGAAACAGAGAAAGATATGAGAGAAATGAACAAACATTGGACAGAACTGGAAAGGGAAGCCCAGGACAGAGTTGGTTGGAGAAAACTGGTGGGCGGCCTATGCCCCATGGGGGGTAACAGGCGTAAGTAAGTAAGTAAGTAATATACAATCCAGAAAAGCATTTCAATGGTTAACCTGAAGTTGCTTTCGATGCAATTTACACAAACTAATCAATGGACAACACTAAATTTTTAATTTTTCTAACAGTCGACTTGATTAATGATGTGTAGTAAAGGAAGAAAGCTCGGTACATTATGAAAAAACGCGTAGCAAACTTATCAAACATTCCTATCAATAAAACTCGCTTTGAATCAATAAACGAATAGATAATAATGCAGTTTTTTTTTTAAATTACATAAAACCGACTGGAAATATATTGTAAAGCAGAAAAGAAAGGAAAGTAAATAACGAGTGATAAAACCTTATGTCTCGAGAAGAAAAAGTGACTCCTTTATATGTCGAAAGATTTAATCTAAAACATTGCACCAAGATTCTATAATCATTGATTTCTTTCGTTGTTAGAATAGTTCATCATGGAGATTTATACCTCATTATACTGAATAACCGTTAGCGAGTACACAGATAAATGTCATATTTTGATCTAAAACATATTAGCGATTTTTCCAACCTAATACTACTTTTTTATTAAAATCATGAATCGATCAATGTTATACCGTCATTATAAACATGGAAGCACTGGACGCCCGTCGCGTTCTAGTATGAGACTCTTCAACAATGCGCATCCACGACTCCTCGAGGGAATCGAACCCAAGACCTTTGGTCTTGAGTGCAGACGCGCAACCTCTAGACCACTGAGCCGACATCAAAAGGTGTTAATGTTTAACCTTAATCAATTCAAGGTATTGCACAACCTCACTAATTGTCTTCAGAAAGTTTCTAATGATTTATTAATGATTTTAATGAAAACTAACAAATATATAGTGAATAATTCTGCTTTATCAAGTTTAACATGAAGTTATTGTTGGATTCGTTCGAGTAATGGTTGTTCACCTATACACGATTTGGTTTAATCAATTTTAACTAATAATGGCATTGAAACTTATTTTTTACTTAATCAATCATACACTGACATTGCTCAAATAATTATTTTCATCACGAATGTACATCAGAACGTATTTTCCAGCAAAAAAATAACAAAGACAAGAGTGCTACATTGTTTACACTTTCATACAGACACTTAGTGAAGTAGCTTATGCTACCACCACTAGATAAATGAGATTGGTGAATATTAATTAAGCTTTCTGTATTCTCAGAGAATAGTCTATGATGAATGATTTCAAGTCTTTAAAGTATTTTACACACTCGTTCATCTAACTCTCTATTCTTAGCATTGATGAGAATTCAAGCCAATTCTAAATCATTCCAATAAAACAGCAATAAGAATTACTTACTGTATATCTGGTTTTGTAAACCAATCAATTAAAAATTGGCCAGTCACAATATTCCAGAATACAATACAATAGGATTGGGAACAGCGAGAAGTTTGCAAATTCGTATCGATTAATATATTATGCATTTTTATTGCAACAGCAGACAATAAATGACTAAATAAACTTAATATAGCATTTAAATACAACCCAATTATTGTATTTCCAAAAACAGCATTGTTAGTATTGAATGTTTGATTTGATGAATTATTATTGCCGAAAAATAATACTGTCCCTTCTGTTGTTATAAATAATGACTGATATTGATTAGTAGTATTAGTATTACTATCACAACTGCCATTGTTAATGCTGTTATCATCATCCAGTAGTACATTTGATAAATTCGCTGAATGAAATATGACAGATATAAATGGTAGTACAAATGTTGCAATACAAGCAAATATGATGTAATCTGATGAAATACTTTGTCTTTCAACAGCCTAGAATTTTCCAAACAAAAGTAAAATAATAATATGAGCAATAATAATTATAATGATAATCATTATAATAATAATAATACTGGTTAAGTAAAATCGAAAACTAATGCAGAATCCTTGAAATTTTCAAGTAATAAATGTAAATAATGTCAAATTAGCGACATTTCCTATCAACTCATAATGGATTCAGTTGATGATTATCTAGTATTTTAGCATTATAGAGATTAAATTTTCAGTATAGGTTTTGCATTGCTAATAAAATTCCTTCTTCTGACCATTGAGTCCTAAAAATTGGTTCAAAAAATAATCAGGTTTACTTTAAACATTCAAACATTTTGCACTGCATCCTCTTTACACAGTATATCAACAACGCCTATTAAAAAAGGGTAGTATGCTTTTCTACGTAACTATAGCGAATGTACATATCGCCATCAGTGACTCGAACTCTAGACAACTCGTTGATTTGGTTAACAAGCGGATATCTCGCCTACGCCATAAGTGACCCAGGTTGGCAAAAGCCAATCGAGCCTTCTGTATCCGTGTTGAGATTTCATCAGTCAACAGGCCATCAGCACTGATGAGACTCCCCAGATAAGGGAAGTGATCAACAAGCTCGACTATTTCACTCCCTATCACTAGTTCAGGTGCCGATAAAACCCAATCTTGAAGCAACATTTTGCATTTCGAGGAGGAAAACCGCATCCCGAACATACTTGCTTTGTTGCTTAGGGTAGTCAGAAGACTGCATTTTGTCAGCGTCTTCACCAAGTAGGACTATGTCATCGGCATATTTTAAGTCAATAAGCGAGCTTCCTGGTAGAAGGTCTACTCCTGAAAATTAAGACAAAGATAATGTTATATCTAGCAGCATGTCCATGACAAAATTGAACATGAAAGGGGGAAGTGGACATCCCTGACGAACACCACTTGAAGTAAAGAATTCCGATGACAGTTCGCCATAAGCTCTCACTCGACCAGTGGTGTTCGAGTAGAGAGCTTGTATAGGGTTATTGTACTTCTTTGATACACCTTTCAATGACAGACACTGCCACAGAACCTCACGATCCACTGAGTTGAATGCCGCCTTTAGGTCTAGGAAGACAACTATTGTAGGCCGCCTAAATGTGTGTCTGTGTTCCAGGACCTCTCGTAGTGTGAAGATGTGGTCTATACAACCACGTCCAGGTTGAAAACCAGACTGGTTTCCTCTAGTCTGCTCTTCACAAGCTCTAGCTAGGCGTCTAAGTATAATCGAGGCTAACAATTTAGATACTATATTAGTTAGACTTATTACCATGTGACTGTCACAAGAGGACTTGTGTCCTTTCTTATAGATTGGGACAATCAGCTCCCAAATTGTACCTAAGACCTCAGTCAACCTGGCTGCTAAAACTGGACCACCATCCTTAAATATCTCAGGGGTCAGTCTATCAGGACCTGCAGCTCGCCCTCGCTTCAGATTTCCTAACGCTTTCTCAGCTTCATAAAGACTAGGGGCACTTACGCTTGCATGGATGAGATTACTTACTACATTTCACACTGGGAGATTATGCCTATTTTAGAAAATCCCAGGCATGTTTCAGCCTATATTACTGTTATAACATTTTCAAGAGTGACTGGATCAAAACCAATGTATTCATGATAAATAAAATTCAACTGTCAACAAATTCAGTAAAATTCCTAGAAAACGAAGAAAAAACTGAAAACTTAAAAAATAAAGAAAATCAAAACGATTTGAAGTTCATGAGGTTTCGGTTTATTGCTCTCTCTCTCTCTCTCTCTCTCTCTCTCTCTCTATATATATATATATATATATATATATATATATATATATATATATAGTACATAGTTCTACGACAAGGTAAAAAATAAACAAGACCGTGACAATTGAATGACAAATGTCAGTAAAACAGAAATTCTCGAAAAAGAAACACCCTTCGACAAAAAATGAAACAATTTCTACTTACATATATCACATTCTTTCCAATGTCTAACATGGATAAATTGAATTTTGACAATTTCTGTCCAGCCCACATATAACAACGAACTGTTTAAAAAAATTAAAAAAATAAAATGTAACAAAGTAAACCAGTTGTAATATGAGTAAACCAAACAAAAATGTTACATATCAGGCGAAAGATACAATTGTCTAAACACACTGATGCTTAATTATAATATGCTTTCGTCAAAGCAGAAAAATAATCTTTATAGATTGTTACATATAAGAGATGTGTTTAGCCTGAATTATAATGTAATAAAATTGTTGCACGTATTAATTAATTTACTATCTTGTTAAATCTATTCTAGATCTGTCAGAAAAAAAGCCTAACAAGCTTAATCGTTAAGAAAGTGCGGAGATCCGTCTTTATGTAACGGGATAAAATCGAACCACCGCGACACAAAGCTCTATGTAATTAATTAGTTGTTTAGAGTTGGGAAAAAAGTCATGTTATTATAAGTTTTTGCTTAAATGGAGACAAACTATTCATCGAAATACAGGTAAGTTATTCGGTGCGCCAGAAGACAAACTTGAATCCTATAATGATTTCAGAGTATCAATATTTTGAATTTACATTTGCAAGTTTGTTTTATACAATCTCACTAAAATTATGGTATAACAACAGAATATCAATATATTAGCCCCTGAACATATAGACATCCGCCTCCATCGATCTACAAATATAGTTACGTCATTACTTAGATATGCTAGAATATCATGAAATAAATGACTTATAAGTGTAGATTAAGTTGCAAATAATTAAGAAAAAAAAGCATACCAGTATCAGTTTTTGCCGATAGTAAATTGTTATGAACATCTGAATCCCTTGTCTAGAAATGTATGCAAAAAATAATAAGTAGTTTTTATTTCCAAAATAACAAGACTTGCAAAGTGTAAGCAATTGACATATATATATTTAGACATATAATATTACCAAATTTAAAAATAGCTGAATAATTATCATAACTAAAAGGAGACTAGAATTATGGAGAAAAAGTTATGAATATAGTTTGATAGAATTAAAATAGTGAATTACTTCGATATCACGCAACATAGTATAAAATTTTATGATTCACTCCATGTAATTGACACGCGATTGTTTTAAACCTAGTATTATCATTCTCAAGAAAAAAGTGTTTTGCGAAGCATTCTCATTAACAAACGTTTCCATGTCTCAGTAACAAGTGAGTCGATCATAATTCGTGTAAGTTATTCAAATATAAGGGTTCGAAATGTACCATGCTTAGTGATTCAAAGTCGGATGGAGTACTTACTTACTGCTAGATTGACAAAAGAAAAACAGAATTTCATTCAATCATGAAATTTTGTGACCATACATCATCCTCTTACATAAATGATCCTAAAACAATGAACAAAAAGCATTAATCTACTTTAACTACTTTTATCAAAGTTAAAAAGATTTGACAATCATCATTTCATAGGTCGGTGAACAATAATCTACCCAACTGCTAAGTTATTTAAATCTCTAAAAACCAGAAATGATAAACTTCGATCTAAATATCAAGTTAAAAAAAAAGTGTATACTTCATACATATGGAAAGAATCATTCAATTTGAAGTGGTTTGGATTATTCCGTTGCTGGTATATGGGCATCCAATGTGAATTACATCGATAGAGCCGTTATGGCACAAGTTTAAATAGTATGGATAGAATGTGGATTCCACTAGTAACCGAACCATTTCAAATCTAATTAAATCTCATATCCGTTGCACAAATGAGCGAATATCTGGACTCAATAACTAAGTGGATAATGCGAAAGCATTTGAACGAAACGGTACTGGGTTCGTGTCTCTGAGTGAACATCAACTGTGGGACACAGGTACATCCAGCTGACGAGTCCCAAATAGGACGAAACGCGAGTCGTGGATTTCATTGCTGGTCACATTTTTTATCCGAAAGAAACATGTTTAATAGACCATTGCATTTCTGTATGTCACGGAAAATTTCAAATAAGTAAGCTTTGATAGAAAATATTTTATAAATTTCATTAACATTTTTCTTAGATAACTTAATAGCGTACATTATCATAAAAATAATGCACAAAAAGCAATACTTACTAAGTGAGATTTAATGTGAATACTTCTAATATTCTCCTTCGTTACTGGACTGTCTAACTTTTTCTCTTTCACTTCAAAATCCATGGAGAGTAGAGCATTTTCATGTGCACTAGACAAACATTCATTCTTCATAGTGGTCTTTATAGATTGTGGTGATTCATATACTTCATGAGATTCAGTAGGTTTTTGATGACCATCATTATCCACACATTTGAGATCGTTGAAACTATTCATTCGTCCCGAATCAGTAGTTGTTGATAGAAAAATGTTAAGACGTGAAGAACATTTTGGACAATAATGTTTACTAATACGAGAACGATAATCAAATCGCCTTGACACTTGATCTTTATTAAGTGCTTGAGGTTTATTAGCTGTATCTACAGTTACATCTAGTATGGGATTCGAATGTTGCCAATTTTGTAATTCATTTTCACGAGAAGGTTGAGATGGGGACTCTACTTCATCAGGACAGGATGAAGAGTCAACATCACTTCCCAAATCACTATTGATTCGATCAAAGTATTCAGTTTCAGAAGCTGTCTGACCCTTGAATTTGTTGAAATAAATACAGAACCATAATTTTTATCAAAATCAAAGAAACATGTAGAACACTATAAGTTTGGAATTATGAACAAATATACAGCTGCAGTAAACAAAATCGATTCGCACCAGAGGATTCAGAACTGTGCCATTCTGTATCACACTCAAATGCCTTAGTCTCGGGCTATTCAGGTCACTTGTTATCAATACTAATTTTTTGCTATCAATTTAAGTTAAACCTAGTTATGGTCTGAAGTACTCAACGCTAGGATTTTTTACTTTAACATAAGAAACATTCTGGACTAGCAGCCTGTGTAAAAATAGCTTGAAATTATGCTGTTAGTGACTTAAGTATGTAACTGACTTTTCAAAATCAGGGAATAAAAAAATCATATTTCTATAAGCAATTTATAGACTAATGAATGTTTGTTAAGTGAACTAAATAAATGATAAGTAATAGAAAATTAGGCAAATCAATGTTTCATAATTTACAAACCTTTATTAAATTAGTACCTATTAATAACTAACCGTGCAACTTAACAGTCAACAGTTTCAAAATTTTCAAACTTATTCGTGATTTTATGAATAGAATATTATAAATAATTGTTACTTTAAAAAAATTATCTATCTGATAAATAAATACCTTTCAAAAATAATTTTGTCACGCATATATAGAAATGATATACAATTTACTGGTGAATACAAAATGTACAATAACAGTATTCAGTAGAGTAGGGGCTTATAATCAACTGATACAATGTTTTTATCTACAGTAGTAGTCACCTGAGTTAAGTATTATCAAAATTTGTTGTTAATCAGCATAGATTAGATCGAAAATGGCAATTATAATCGAGTTCAGAAATACTATCGACCGACTTGATGACATCAAAGGTAACACATTATTCAGGAAATCATCTTTAAGACTATTAACTAAGGGTGCAGTGGTAAGACGTAACTGCGATAACAAAGAATCTCGACAGACAGAATTTTCAGGTTTGATCAATCAAATGCAATGTTTGAATTAAAAGACATAGAATCTAAGGGAAGACAAATTATTGGGTGCATTTAACGCAGTGCGAGTGATTTTGAGCCATTTGCTCAGTCTCTAACCACTGGTTACGATAATAGAGTTAACCAAAACAAGGTAATCTTTACCTACCTAGATGGTTCTGCGTATTGGTCAATGTCTTCATGAACTGGTCTTGAGTTTTTTGTTCAGGTTTAGTAAACTTGTCACCTTAATAAATTTAATTTCTTAAAATAAAAAAACTGCTAAATATGAAGTTACGCATCGTCACATCCCGGAATGACAAAACAAATGAAGAACATTACAAAAACTTGAGAAAACTAAATAGCTTTATAGTTCTTTCGTTTGAACAGAACACTAATCCATACAAAAGTTTTTTCGCATTTCGTGATGAGGACTGTATCAACAGGTCACTAGGATGGAATTCAGTTGTTCATATCTTCAAGTGTAATCATTTAGTTCAAGAGGTAATTTATTCGATTCTCTATCTCTCTTGGTACCACAGACTTTCGCTAATCGTTAGTGAAGATAAGTAGATCATGTATTGAACATCTGTAAGTAATCAGGATGGAAGAGCTGTTGAACTTTGCTCCGTCTTCAGTAGTTAACAACTTATCATCATTCCATGATAAAAACTAAACTCAAAAGATTTTGATTCACTATACTATATTCAATGTAGTATTTAAGCCTAATAAGCAGGTAGTAATTTTTCAAAGTAGCGGCCTTCAAATAATGGTGACCATGTTTTTCAGTACTCTCCTGTTAAATGGAAACTAGTTTCAATTCAACCAGCTCATAATCGACACTTTATGAATGCAGTTAAAAATATTAAGAAATGTGAACCGTGTTTTTAATGCAAATCAAAGTAACGATGACAAAATGAACGATACATTACAAGAGATTTTTCAATTCCAATTAAACAGTAAAAATTATTGCGCACTCATTCAGAACATTACACAAAGAGACATAAGAGAAAAAAATAGTGAAAGCTTTATTGACTGTAAGTAATACGAGCAAAAAAAAGACCTTACTCGAGCATTCATATTTGCATATTGCGATTCATTTTTAGAAAAGTAATGTGAATGCGAGTATATATCACGAACAAAACCATTATTAGGATCAATATACTGCTTCATATTTCGTTGAGAAGCATGGTTAACGGCATCTTGTGAACTAAAATTTAAATATGTAGAAAAGATAATAAAGCGATTTTATGTTCGAAAAATAAGATTTCAAGAAAAGGCAAGAGAAAAATAGGACTCGAAACACTGAACACAAGAAGATTATGGATAGACTACAGTATAAACTTTGGAAAAGAGTCTTTAAAAAAAAGCAGATCACATTCATCCAGATATTTGTATTATAATTTCGATATTTGGGATAGTTTTATAATAACAGAATAGTAGTTAAACACACTAGTAATAAATTAAGTTGATTAGCGTACCAACAACATTGGTTCTTTAAACAACAGAACTTTTGAATCTACGTTATTACTGATATGTGAAAAGGGTTTTGGATGAATGAATGACAATTCTGTGTTATAGCTCAAATATTTTCAACTCCGAACATTTAACTTATTTTCTTACACTACTAATAATTCTGTTAGTAGCAAGAATTTGAAATGAAAATAAATGGACAGAGTGACACTATCTATCCATCAATATTCAATAAAGAGAGAAATCAAGACTCATCTATACATATCTTAAAAGTCTTCAGGTTAATCGAAAACATATGTTGCCTATAGTTTTAAATTACCATTTTCCACATCAGCCGCTTTAACGATATAGCGAATATGAATCACATATATTACTTAGAAGTCTAATTTCGATGCTAAAGTATCCGCGAAACATTTGTAGTATAAGCAGTTTTACAAATCTCCCAAAAGAACCCTCATACTCCAACAAAAGTGTACATATTTTTGGGGAAGACAGATATAAATGGATATCCTACCGAATCACAGAAAGTAATAAATCAGTTCATAACATAACCACCAATGTATACAAGGAACTTCTGTTCAGGAACTAATAACCAATTTACTGAGTGTTTTTGCCTTCCCCGATTCGATACAACAATGAAAGCATGTGGAATTGTCGTAGAGATTATTTCTCGTTATTTATCAGTCTAGTCATTAATTAAAACTATTTATTGAAGTTAATGTATCACTAATTATTAGAGCATCGCTAAAACTTTAATTGGCCACTTTCTCTATCAAATACGTATGGTTTATCTCAATACTGTGTATACTTGTTGGTGACATTGTTAGCTATACCAATAATCTCCAAGTGTATGATGAGAATCGACTGAGTTATCAGATTTTGTGATAACTATTTAATACATCTTAGGTTAGACTTGATAAACTAGTTTCAATAACTCTCAGAATTTATTACTTCTCAAGAATCAACCTACATCAGCAGTTTTATCACTACTACCTATTATTTTGTAGATATATAATAAGTGTGTTAATGCGGAACAGGTTGCTTGAATTAAAAAAAATTTTTCATTTTTTTAACTGTTTGATTGTTCAATCGACCGATAGGATGTTGATCGATCAATGACATAAAATATTATAATGCGATCGAGTGAAAAATCATTTCTGAAACTGAATCTGTCAATTTTTAACAGTCAATTAAATTTTACAATTCATTATTCACTCAAATGATTAAACAACCGGTCAAACAGCCATGTTGTTTTCTACTAAACAAAAGAAGTAATAAGAGAAGTATTTGATTAAAAATAGCTTATTATTGCTCAATGATGTCATAAAATCATCAGACAGGCAACGAATCGAATATTTTAAAAACAGGCTAGGTTTTTCGTTCAAGTATGATATGTAACAATGCTGAACATTATAAGTTGGTGTGGATTTCAGTTGATTTCATGCACCTTTTATAAATAAACTAGATAACTTTTGAATTGATGTGGAAGAGTTGCAGTTGAAGTTACCTTATGCCAAATAGCCCAACGAATCTAATCTTAAGATTTTTCTAACACTAACGCATTCAAAAAGCACAAACATTCATTAAAAAAACTAAATGTGTATGAACGCCTGAATTCTAAAATGAACAGTTAAAAAACGCTATCAAGTTTTTATTGCTACTGTTTAATTAATGATAACACTCAGAGAAACGATATTACTAAGAAATAAGCTATGATAAACAAAATTAAACTTTTGCAAACAAATATCCAAAAATATTACTTCAAAATAATAGAAACTCCAAATGTTGTATCACACATACTTTGTAAGATCGATTGTTGCTGTTGGTGATGTCGTAGGTGATCGATCACTGATACTTCCAGGCATGCAATTAGCCTCAGACCAATCGTAAAATACTTTCGGTGAAGTTGACTTTAAACAACTTTTATTCGTCGAGTTCAACAATGATAAACGTTGATTGCATGGTTTAAAATTAATATCAGGATTTTTAGACGTAGAAATATATTTATTTGAATATTTTAAATTGACATTTGATAATTTATTATCCAATATAGCTGCTGAATCTGACTCAAGCATATCTGTATCAGTTTGAGTAGGGTTTATAACAACACGTGGATGTTGTAGGTGAGAAGCACGTTGTAAAAATAAACGTAAATATTTTGCACGTTGTCTGTTGAACATGGTAATAGTATTATCTTTATTGATATATTCATAAGATTTATTCTTAAATTCTGGACAGTCTAAGATTTGTTGGCAAGAGAAAAAAACATAACAAATATCATACATTTTTAGTTACATTTCAGAAAAAAAACATATATATTAACATAAATTTTGTTGAATACTTTCATAAAATGTAAATACAAATTTGCTGATGTTGGGGGTGATTTCACACATTTAAAGCATTGCATTCATCTTTGTGACGTAACAATTAAAAACACTTCACAGTTTCATATAAAATAAAATAAAAATACAGGAACTATTTAAAAGTAGAAGTTTTGAATAAACGCAATTGTTTTAAATTATCAGAAACGTATATAATTACATTATGATCTCTTGAAGTTTACTAGTTTTTCATTGAAAATCTTAATGATGGCTGTTATTATTGATTTTCACTGTACTGATAAGAAATATTTTGCAAACTGAACTCATATATATATATATATATGATATATTTTCTGTCATACATAAAGTTGAAGTTGTTGGAATTTCATATAAATTGAAAATAACAAACACAATTATAATGAAGAACAAAAAAACAATGGCAACAAAAAAAAACGAATGAATAACTGCCCTAAACTTTTTGTTATATTCATAGAATATAATCTTTTCATACAACACAATGTCTCTATGTTTTGAAATCAATGAATTTATTGAGAAATTATTCGCTTTTATATCATGTAATATCGAAAAATTGTGTTTCTAAGACTGGAATGATAAGTATTTTAGGGTGTGAAAAAACAAAACCAAACGAAATTTCTATGTTTAAATCATATAACAAAAACAAACTAAGAATAAAGAGGAAAAAACACATGAACATGTATTTATATATTTTTAAAAGTAAATAGCATTCTCAATTTCTTCAGTCAAAATTTTGTTTAACATTTGACGAAGTTATCAGAGTCAAAGGTTTGGTTTTTTGCTAAAAAAAAAAGTACATTTTTTTCGAAATCTTTTACAGAATCACGTGAACAAATAAATGTTCAAGGTTATTTGAACAAACTAACCACTAAGGGAATGAAAAAATATTTTCATGAAAATGTAGAAAATTTTCCTATACCACGTGAACTCATCAAACGAATTCAGATTACTATACTTTATTTAGTAAAGGATAGAAACATAAAAACATGATAAATTGTTTCATACATGAAAAAAAAAGAATGTTTTAAGGGTAATTTAATTAGTTTCAATTGACAATTCTCAACTAATGTTAATAGCTAATTCGTGGACCAGTACACCTGCTGTGAATAAGATTGAAAATCTATGCCAAATTAATTGATGCACAAAATTCCATCATAAAAGTTAATGAGAAAAATTAACGTATGATGCAATAAATTGAATGAAAAATCTTTCTTAACCTATAATAAAAATACATATTAAGGAATTCAAGGTATTTAGTTTCAGAATTATAATTTTATTTGAAAATTTTACAATTTATTAATTCTCACATTTTTTGTTGTTTCATGCTGAAAACATGAATCCTACAATTAATATGTCATTAATATTAACTGAAACAAATTTAAATGTAAATGCGAAGATGAAAATATTCCTAACGTCAGACAATATTCCTTTATAGACATTACATTTTAAAATATCTATTCCATATTAATGATACTACTGAATACCGGTACACATGAAATATGATTCTGTTATCATGGAAGAAGAATGGTTTATGACATTCAATCATATGATGCATCCACATTTAAAAACTCAACCGTTCAATGTAGTACTAGATACATACAGACCAGAACAAGAATTTGTTAACATGCAACACAACAGAATAGTCTGTAAATTAAACCAATTAAGAACAATGAAGTTTACGTTATATGATAGTTTATTATAATTAGTGTGATGAAACATGTCTGACCAATCACAGATCACTCTGACTAGATATACTAGATCCATTTAAATAATAAATAAGTTACTTAAACACGTACAGAAATAATCAACTAGAAATAAGCTGTTTTTTTTAATCTTACTTTATCAGTCACATTATCAATTAATAATAATCTTATACAAACAAGTAATTTTTTGTATAATGCTATCTCTTGACATGTTCAAGGTTATCTTGACATGTTCCTTGACACGTTCAAGGTTATCTCCTAAAACGTTAGAGAAGAGTTAGGTCAATCTAGTAAACTTAACAGGATTAAGTAATTATCATTAATAGATAAATTATATATATAATCAGGTTATCGAAATTTATGCCAAAAAATACACGAAAAAGAGCAAAAAGCAAAAGTCACAACTAAACCATAGCAATAGTAGCTTTATTCAGAATGATCCTAATACTTGTTGAGTTAGTTTATTAGTTAAAATAATAGTCACCTGTATTTAATTGGTTTCTATGGTAAACTGAGTATCCTAAGTAAACTTAGAACCGTCACAAATTCCGACATAATAAATGCAGCCCAAAAATCAGTAGACAAAAATATACTTAGCAGTATGAATTATCATCATAAAATCAACAACTGCAACTTCGGTATGATGATGTATCAAAATGACCAAGTAGGAACAAATTGACTGGAACATTTATTCTATCAGATTTCTCTAGTAAGGTTGGTTATGAAAGTTAGTTGAGTCAAAAGCTGTTCACAACAAAAAAGAAAGAGCCTAAATGATAGTTCTACAGCAACAGTTAAATTTATATTTCATGATGTACCAGACATGATGAAATAGAAGTAACTCTTTTTTTAACGAGTGACCAGGATCTACAGTATAACTTTTGCAATGCTAAATCTCTGAAAACTGCTGACATGCTTTTGTTGTCTGTGATAAGTGTTTCAAAGAATGAATTGAGACACGAAAAACCAAAAACTGAAATAACGTTCCCATATTTAAATACTATAAAGCTTTTCTCATTAGGATTTGAAAATGAAGCTGTTCAAATCCTCTTTCACATACCAACACTAGGAGAACTACCAAAACTGTCATTCAAAAGATACGACAGGTATTCCAGTAGTTAAACGAACTAAATTGAATTGGGTTTAATAACCGATGAATATATGATATGTGAATTTCAAATCTTATAAACACATTATCAGTAGTCAATACTATTCGTATATTATTACGAAAATAAACTAGAGGAGAAAAAAAGGATTACTTCAGAAGAATCAATAATTTATAAGAATTAAGCTTACCATAATTATCTAGTTGTAAGTCACGTTCCTCGTTCAGTTCATTCAACTATTGTAAATAGAATAACAAAATTGTTAAGTGTTTTATAAAAAGTACATGGAAAAAAAAGGGAATACAATGAAAAATAAAACTTCACATGTTTACGATGCATATTACACATTTATAAATGTGCGGTACATATTGCACAGTAAACAATGAATCTCAAACATCACAAAAAAACAGTATTCATATGATACAATAAAATGAACAAAATGAAAATAATTTTTGAATGAAGTTAAATGTATTTCGACATATTATTTACAAATGTTAACTAAAATACAAATGTATTTATAGTTTATCACCCCTTTTAAGGGTTGATTTGAAAAATCTATTCATTTTATTATATAACGGTGGAATGATCTAATCAGAGTAATCTAGGTGAATCATACCAGAATATTACAATGCTTTTATACTATCATGTTTATCATGCAACAAAATATATTTCTAGTAGTACAGTATTTTTCATGAATCATTGCAAGACAAACACTGTCACTTCTAAATAAAGTTATGCAGATGATTTCTTATTTTATGATATTAAGTTATTTTTAACTTGACTTGATACAAGTGAAATCATGTGCAATCTCTTTCACTTTAAAAAAATAAGCCATTCAGATTTGCAATCACGAATCTATTGCGAAACGAATTAATGGATCGATCAAATTGAAAATTTACAAATGCTATAGATACTGAAGAACTTGGTGAGTGAACACGTCCGTTATCGGAAATTGAAAGAAAGTGGTTTGTAGACCTTATTGATCGTTGACAATTTTCTGGAGGTTATTTCTCAGAAAAAGCCCAGAACATTTTGCTGTGTGAAATGTTGGAATTGTTTAAAATTCAATTTCTGAGATAATTATACGCTAAATATGCTACAACGTATAAAGATAAGTCAGGAAACTTAGTGAATCAAAGATAGACAAAAACCAATGCTTGGTGTACAAAATCATTTAAGCATATCATAGAGCAATGATAGACATGTATCTATTACGAGATACTTCAAATAAAATTCTTCTTATATTATTCAGAACACTTTTAAGTCTCTTATTTTAACAAATCAATGTTCTTCGTGTAAAACACTTTACGTATATTTTCTTTTATCCCTTGGTCTACATGTCTTTGTGAAGAAAAATACATCTATTATTGACTGGATGCGAAATAGCTACTAATCATAAGAATGTCAGCCGACACCATATTTTAGATCTTTATAAATTACATCTCCTTAGAACCTACATTATTCCAATATGTCAGTTTATTTTACTGTTAAAGAACACTCTTTCGAATGAAAATTTGAACGTTTGACAATAATGAACAAGAGCATAATAAGCTTTCAAATAATTATGTTTCAAAGAAATAAAAAATATGTAATTAGGAAATGTTCCACTTCTTTGAATATCAACTAGGATTTGCAAAACCAAGATCATTTTAAAATCCTAAAACTCTGTCGGGATACTTAGGTCTCAGTAAACGATTTCCTATTCTAGATGTGACTGATCCTCAAAACCACATTAATAAAATCAGTATTAACATTATTAGTGGTAGTAGAAAAGAATGAGCATAAGCAATATGATTGCAGAATAAAATATAGATTTTCAGTATCAAAAAAAAAGGAAAAGATAGTTTAGAAACTTGGGCACTAAGGAGAGACTAAGTGACTACACCTGAGCGGCTGAGAAAGACTTTAACCATCAACAGTTTAATGGACGAATGCCACATCTCAGTTTGATGTCACTAATTTTCTCCCGAACTAGTCTTACACCGACAAAACAACGTACGTCGAAGTAGAAAGTAATCAGACGTGCGTAGTAAATGTGCCAACCACTGCAGTTGAAGACTCACTGTCTCACTAACTACACCACGTAATACTCATACATTTCTCACTGCATCAACAAATAAACTGTTCAGTATTTATTCTGTCTTAATCATTATTAAGTGAAGCTGAGAATGATCTAAAATATGAGAAATCTGGATTTTGAATCATTTTATATCCTTAGTCACGCAATGAGATCAAGTCACAAGCGTTCAGAACATAGCATCGGCAAAACTTCTTACATTGATTAGTGCAGAAGAAATGTTTTTTAGTTCACTTTTGAACTGTGATAGTTTGAGTAACAGGAATGCTAAAAATTCTTTCATGACTACAGAGAGACTTTACAAAGACAGTAAGTAATGTATGAAAGTGAAATTTAAAAATTGATGCGCACTGTTGATGAGTCTCATATAAGGACGAAACGGCGGTGCAGTACTTCCAGGTCTCTAATGATGGTCTGACATTCATCGGTTCATGATTTCAAAGTAACTCAAAAACCTTCACAACCCTATGGTACAAATTTAAAATACCATAACAAGCTGATATCATATCATTTGGTTTGGTAACGAATGAGAACAATTAGGTTAAACTTCTGGATAATTTCTAAAATCACCGTTTGTGACACTGTCACACAAAGCGAGTAAATCAAACAAAATTTTACAAACACATAATTTCTCTGATATTTTATCAGACAAATTACTGATGAGAGATTAGATACAATCGAAGATAAAACTGATCAGTATATGTAGCAGACCTTTTGGAATTCTTTGGATAATTCAACTGGTTTGACAGCAGATTTCATATCTTCAATTAATTGGCATTCAAATAAGTTAGTGTAACTAGAACATGTCTTTTTGTCCAAATGTTTGTCAACACTAGATTGGCCACTTTTCATTACGATATAATAAAAGAAAATAGACAAAAGAAAATTTTAGTCAACTTCTGAACAATGCATCATTGCAATCAATAAAAATGTTATTTTTAACTAATTTATCCATTTAATATAAAAGATTTTGAAGAATTTAACGATTAGTTTTCGTTGATAAAAATAAACTGATAAACTGGCCTGAGATCTTACTAATTAAAAAAAACTTGATTTATTCACTGATTATTTTTAATCAGTTTTGTCCAACTCTTTAATAAACTTAACTTGAATATTATGAGATTAAATTCTCTAGTTAATTACACAGTAACCAGAAGACTTTTTTAGAAATTGAATTTCATATCGCATGTTTTTCGATAATATACATGAAAACAATGTGGCAGCGATGTAATTAGCACTATTGTTCAGCAAATAACACAATATGATGATAATCAGTTGCTTTTAAAACCCCACAATACAAAGTAAAACAATATATTTAGAAAAGACAGTAATTATACAGTAGCTATTAACAAATTATAAAATGTCATTAAGTAGTTAGTTAAATGCATCTTTAGTACACAAACTATTTTTACTTACGTAACTCAGACTCGCATTATCCTGACTCATTTGAATGGACAGTCACCTTACGTGATCATTTCATTGTAACCAGGAAAGAAGAATATAAGTGAAAACCTAACTACATTTTTTCTTCATTTATTCGTTTGTCAGTAGCACAAACAGATATACACCGCTCACCTCACTAATAATTTGTAGATATATATCCTAACAACACAATATGCAACATGTACCACTGGACACCACTACGAAAAACATTGTTTAACATGACGACTCAATACTAAGTTTGATCATGGTTAAGTACAAGGTAAAGATAGTTCATGCATAGGAGTGTTTAAAATATAACAGATTAAATTAATATACCTTTCACAATGATTTCGTAGCACTAATGGGTCTATAAGGCTAGATGACATTTCGATCATGAATTTAAAATGATGTAACCTAAAAGAACTTAAAAATGGCAATTCAGCTTATTTTTTCAATATGATCCAACGTTTAAATGGTCAAACTAACAAGATTTACGTTAAGCCATTTTCTAATCACGTTTCTATAACTAGTGTTCACCACCTATAATCGATTTCCAGTAAATGGCGTTAATAAAGTATTTTAAACATATACAGGTGAAAATTGATAGAAGTACATATATTTTTATTTTAAATATCACATAAAATAAACAAAATATCACTTTGATGAAGTTAACAATACAATCAATATTATCAGTACCACTTCGGATTGGCTGTCAATTCTGCACCAATATCATGTACAGATTCCAATTCTGAAAATCATAAAACAGTATTGAAAAACAGTTTTGAAAATAGTACAATCAGCAAGAACATTCATTCAACTTATATATATATATATATGTGAAAACTGGGAGTGGTATCAACCCATGAAGTTAATGATAGTAAACTTGATCCATGGTCCAGATAAAATCATTCTTAGTGTCTCCTTAGTACCTAAGTATCTAAACTATCTTAGCTCCTTTTTTGATACTGCAAATCTAAATTAAAAGTTTGAAATACAGTTCTGCCCAGCATAAAACACTGCATATATAATATATTCGACAGTAAATGTTATATACTATCTACAAATCATTTGGAAATACTTTAGCAAAGTATGCAACATAGAACTATTATTATCAGTTAAGAGTATGTCATTCATCTTGATCAATAAAAAGTTAATTAATAAACTATAGGAGTACGCATAATGATAATAATTTTCTCAGAAAGATAAATCATGTGCATATAATATTCGAAATACACTATACTGAACGAACAGACAAATTATGAATTAGTACCTTCGACACACTGACTAATGTTGGCAATTTTACATTAATTGTTTGTAGAAAAAAATCAAAGATGCATCATACTACTGCGCGTATGTTTGCAAGCGCTAATTATACCACTAAAACCTTAACCAAATGAGGTAAACAATAGATTTTACCTCGAGAACAAGTGGTTGACAGATGCGCAATAATTTGCAAATATCATATAAATATACAGATTCTACACTATTGCTTGATTGTGATGAACATAATTATAACATTCTATAACTCACTAATTCAATAATTCTGACAGTAAAAGTGCGAAATCAAAGTTTCAGTGAAAATTGAATTACAAAACTAAAGATGATAAATAATAAACATATTTAAATTGTAAAATGTCGGTTATAAAGAAGAAATCATGAACTTCATTTACCGAAAATCCGGCGATTTCCTTTTTGAAACTTTCTCATAGAACTGAAAGATTGAGCAGAATTGGTAGAAGATTCTGCAGCTGCTGAAGAATGTGAAGATAATGATATTTTACGAAATGAAGTATTTTCACTATTTAAATGATTTTGCTGGTTTGATGAACGTAATTTTAGAACTTCTCTAGCTGGATTATTCATATTATTGTAGTTGAGTCGAAAATTTCTTTTTTGTCGCAACGGTAATTCCTTATCAAACAGATGATACTGTGACGAATCCAAACCCATTGACAAATTTAATAACGCATCTGAGAATGACTTTTTCAACAATAAGTTATCGTTTGGAAACATATAAGTTGTAGTATTTTTACGGTGTATTAGAAAGCTCATTGACAGTGAACGTTTTAATGAACGGTGACTAGTTCCAATGAGGGAGTCAAAAGAACTACTTAAAGATGAAATATGAGACAAATGAGGTGGAAGGCATTCAGGTTCAATAAATTGGTCGGTCTTTAATGGGATAGGAGGATCACTCGTAGATTGTGTTTTCAAAATACCTACTTTGTATGGAGACTCGGTATTCTGGAATGAGAAAAAATTCTAAGTGATAACAACAGCACACAACAGTTTATTATCTTGAATGTTCTATGAAATAGTATGAATAAGAAAACTGTTGAAATTCATAAACAATGTTGACACTTTATCAACTCCAGTGAAAAATATAAACATTATTAAGATGACCGTTTAACAATTTTTTGGCAGAACGTTCAGAGATTTTAATAGAAATATTCTAATCTTCATAAAAGCCTTGTCACGGATCATTCTGTCAACTAGACTTATAGCTGACTGGTCACTCTGTAGTGACTGATGTCGTATTTGTCAAGTCATTAACTCCTGATCGAATTCTATCGACCAAGTTACAGTGTATTCACTAGTTTAAACTACTGGATCGAAAGAATTTGATTAGAACTTAAGGGTTATGCGAACATGACAGTGGCCATTATTCAGTGACTACTCAGTTGTATCTTATTCCTATAGAAGGTCAGTTGAGGCACGAATAACTCAGCTGTAACGTCGTAGACTCTGAAGCTGGGTAATGTGGGTTACAATCCCACAGGAAGCATTGACTTTCAAGACTGAAGGTATGCCTTTTTGACGACTGATTAATAATACGAAACCTAGATTAAACGTTTCCTGCCGACTATCTCCCACTACCTAACACTAGACAGATATACAGTTACACAAGTAGGCAGAAAGACAGGACATCTGGTTTAGGTAGCTGATTAGTATTACTGGTCTCCAAACAGTGGATCAAAGACAAGTTTGCACCCATGTAGTGATCATAAACAATGGTTGGAGATGGATGATATTATATCTCAATGACCAATATACATTCCCTCCTTGTAATCTATAGGTGACATAAATTTACTCCTTTTTTAAACTACCACCAATACAGCAACCAGGTTTAATTCTCTAGCACTTATTTCGATAATTTCATCTTGCTGTAACAATGTGGAGTGACAACTTGAAATAATGCATGTATGTGCCAGGTTTTGCGTTGCATATGACTGACTGATTAGTGTAAACCTAAACCTAGCAAGTGAGTTTTATTATGAGCAGGTAGCATACGACTGAGTCTCTTGCTCTAGTTTTAAAATGTCACCTTCAGTTAACTACTCAGGCATATTTGAGAATCAAGATACTGTTATTGTGACTAGCAGAAGTGGCATGAAGGCATTACGTTGGATGAACCTTTTCCTAAAAAACCTAGACACCAGTAGAAAAACCATTAAAAGGTATTTACTTCTTAGTATGGCTTTTCTTTACCTTAAAAGAACAATGATAACCACAAAATTTAGTTGGAATCATATTTATTGAAAGATAAGTTTAATACAGAGAATTATATCTAGTTTTTTGGATGCAAACGTTAATTATGCTGCTTTAGTGACGACAGTGTTGATGTTAAATAGTTATCGATTCACACTAAGAAATAAACCACTTACGGCTGGAAAACCACCCAAATTTTTTGATAGTTTGGCAGGAGCATGTACATTTAAAAAGCTGAGTGCAGATTCAGATACTTGCTTCCTCTTATGTAGAATTGCGGAATCTGGATTTAAATCTAAATTAGAAGATATGAAATAGTGATCAGAACCAACTATTCGAATAATACCTCTTCTTAACTGCAACTGGGGAATAAAATCAGGATTGGGACTATTCACAGTTTGGTCATTGAAACCAATCTCTCCAACATCCTTTTTAGTTGAAACAGTCAAAAGTTCACCTTCACTCTCTTCCACATCTGCATCATGTCCACGACTTGAATTACCATGCTTTGAGTTGTAACTATTTTGACGCCTACGTCTTCGAACAACTCTTGATCTATGCTCTAATACTTGTGAATTGTGAAGAAGTTTAGTTCGTTCACACTCTTCATCCAGCGTACATGGAGTCTGTACACCATCTGTTCCATAAGTAACATCAGAGACATTTACTTCATGCTGAGTATTGTCGCCTGGACCGTATAGATTAGAACAATCATCATGATTACCACTGTCAAGATGAGTCTTGGAAAATTTATGGCATGAAGTTAATGGCCTTTTTGGTTTCATCTCACCCGATCTCCAGTGTATATTTCGTTGATCTTTGGCGTAAGTTGTGTTCGCTAAATGAGGAGTTTTACAACATTCGAAGCAATCATAACTTGAATGGGTGCACTGTTCTGAAGTATTGCTTGTATTTTCGTTGTTAGGGTTTGATGCGTTATTTGATTGATGATTCTCTGAGTAACTAAATTCAGTTTAAACATATAAATACAAATTAAAATCTTATATTCGGTTAGATTTAGATTTGTGATGATTGCAAGCTACAAAATTGGAGTGTTCTACATGAAAATTTGTACAGTGTTCAACGTTAGATAATAAGTCTATGAAAAACTGAGTAAAAGCTAGTTTGTCTAATTTACAAAGGATTTGGCCTATAAACAAGGATTCGTATTATTTGACTATGTACAATGAGATACGTTTCGAAAACATTAAGGAGTGTTCTGAGAAGTAAAAGCTTATTAAGGGTAATGTAAATTATATTATTTTGAAGAAAGCACACTTCAAAAGGATGAATCTTTTACGATTTGTTACTAGATGTTTTAAGAGCACGATAAACGAAATAAAGGCTTTCGATACTCAAACGAGACCAACAACAAACCCTCTGAGATGAAATCTCTTAAAATAGACATGCCACGGGTTGATGGCAATCCCATAGAACAATACTTTGAAGAGTATTGTAACTAATTTGTGAAAGTGTCACTTTTTGGTGAGATGGAGGATATGACCACATATTTCAACATTTTTAAACATAGTACACAAGAGATAGTAGTTTGAAATGATTAAATTGTAAATTAGAACACAATCCTCACCCATATAAACGCAATACCACGAATATCTTAAATTGTACCGCACTTGATTAGAACATTTTTACTGAAAAACAATAAGTGTCGGTGATTGAATGTTACTTGGCATAAATCGATGCATTATTATTCAATACACATTACTACAGAACTCACATATTGGTTGGAAATTTGCGTTGCTCAAAAGTAGATGACTGTACAGGAAACCAAGATGAATGGTCATACTCAGCATGTTTATTTATAACAGTCTGTACACTACCAAATTTATTATTTAATAAATTATCCGTATTGTATTGATAACAATTTGGATTCAAGCTATGCTCACCAATATCTTTAAAAGATTGATTGGTCATTGGATTATCTATAAAAGACGAATATAAACCAGTTTTTCCATGCGGAGCAGTAATATGGGCATGGAGAATACCCAGACATATAGCTAATAAGCAAGGAAGAAGTAGATCATCTTGAGAACTCTGAAACAAAAATTCAGAATTACGATTACTGAATACCAAAAAGATGTTGGAAAACACATTTTAAGCCTTACCAACATGTAAGGAATTTTATTTATTGATCATAAATAATGACAACCGACTTAAAAGTTAGAGTTTAGATGAAACAAATGATTATAATGCCAGGTTGATTTTGATTCGTAGTAAACATTTTGGTGAGCGATCACAGGCCAGTTAATGATTATCAATATTTAGATCATATATTCGAATTTGTGACACTATATGGATGCGAAACATAGACGGTAAGAGTTGAGGAGACTCGTACGTTATTAGTATTCGATTATAGATGTCTTCGAATCACTGCTCGTATATCCTGGGACAACCGAGTAAGCAATGCTGTCGTTAGGAAACGAGTACTAGGTAGGGGTGGCAAATCAATAGATGAAATGTTGAAACTTCATCAGTTGACGTGGTTGGGACATGTGTTACGAATGCCTAACGACCGAATGCCTCGACGAGCTATGTTTTGTGGTGTAGCAGTAGATTGGAAGTGAGCTAGGTGCGGCCAGACCAAAACATGAAACAAATCGACGAATTCACTGATAAGTGAACTGCGTCATGTTGATAGATATGGGCTACCTGGTTGGGGTCCGCGAGATGAAAGTCATCAATGGTTAGAGACCTTGAACGACATGGCTCAAAACCGTTTGCAGTGGTTTATGTGCATCCACTCTTTGTGTTCTCTCAAATTCGAACCTTCTGAATTCCTCATCATCTCTATCTTCCTCCTTCCTAATTTATCTCACTGAATTGTACTTCTTGAATAATATCTTTGAACGCTAATATTCTCTATTACTGGTGATACTTCTACTACCTCTCTATAGTAGTTGAACTGACAATTGAGTCTCTGTGCTAATGCGTACGTACGAAGTTCTACGTTGTAACTGACTGACTGCATTCACCGATTTAAATAATAATCTAGACGAATAAGAATGAAGTCAAAAAATTCGAATACATACGATAAGTTGTACCTAGGGCTGGGAATAAAAACATTAAAAGTGGTCTATTTTTTTGATTAACAAAAGTATAAAAGGAGTGAAGACAGATTAATTTTTAACTAACTTCTTGTAAGTTTCATTAGAAAGTTTAGAATTACTATAAAAATACTAGTTTGTGAGAAATCCGTTATGACGCAGCATTTTAAATGTGATAATTGGTGAAACCAAATACATTATTACAAACAAAATCTCTTCAAAATAAAGCCGAAACAAGCTTGTGAATTTACTAATATTATAGACGGTAATCCCTTAAACGAAATGACTAGATTCACTAAAAAAACATCTATTTCAATCTTAAAGCAATAGAGATTTTTGGTCGCAGTCATTTATTTATTCATAGATGTACAATATTACGAAATAGTAACATAACCCAGTGACCCAAAATATTGAAAATAAATACTTCAGACTGTGTAATGAGAACCATGTGATATCATGGCTTCACTCATTTGTAAGTTTATGTTATTTCTTCATTATACCAGTTGATTTGTAGAAATTCGATATTTCAGCATTCATTTATTCGTAGATAACAAAATAATTGATAACAACGTAATAAAATTTAAGGATAATGTATACTGGTGTATTTGTATGTATACAACGATGACAGATTTGATGTTAAGTATCAGTTTTAATCATAAAACTTCAGAACATTGATACTCAAGAAGTTAATGTAGCGATAAAACTTTCCACCTTTGTTTCTAATTTATGTCAAAGGATAAAGATTTATATAAATTCAAAACATCATTTGATAATATGCAAGCAAAACTAAAACACTCAAAAACATCGCAGAAATCATAAAGCACACAAGTTGACATAACTACGATCATATTTTTTTTTATGAAAAAAGCAATTCATTAGCAAGTTTTTAATAAATCACTTGGAGTTCACATGATTTAGCATCGTAAAACAGTTTATTCCACAGGTGATAGACAGAAAGAACACTGAAATGAAATACCGCATAAAATAACGATACGTTTCAAATCGATACGACTCTTTGACATTAAGAGTGAAAAATTCCGCAAAGAAGTAGTGCTATGATTAATCGATAAAAGGGAAATGATCGACGGGAAATAAATGAACCATAATATGCATTAAGTTGAAGAGAAATGGATGAAATTATCTTTTAGATCGACATCGATATTCAAACTGACAGATTCTAGGAAAGAAAAGCTAAAATTATTTATTATAGGGTTGTGGAGATTGTTGGGCTTCATTGAAATCATACACGGGTCAATGTTAAACCACCATTGGAAACCTGGATGCACCGGACTCTCGTTTCGTCCTACCATGGGACTTGTCAGAAGTGAGCATCCACGATCAAACAAGCGGGAATCGGATATCGGATTTTCGGTCTCGCGCTAAATAGTTTACGAACACTCGAATCAACAGAAGTCTTGCATTTGAAAACCAAATAAAATGAAACGTCGAGTGTTAATAAACTTTGTTTTCTTATCCCAAACAGTGATTTAAAAAATTCTTTTAAAAAAATAGACTTACGTTACTAGTTCGAGGGTCCGTCAGAAGGAAAAATACTACTTGTAAAAATTGCAGGAAAAAGTGAATCATGATATAAACAGCAACACGAAACGATGTATGACTCCGCCAGTAGTTCCAGTAAAATGGAGCGAATGCCACGCGCAATAAACCCCAACGCACAGCTGACATCCAACCATGACCGGGTTTAGCTTTAGCGAAAACAGAACCTTTATAATAAAAGATATTTGAAATTCGATTAAAAATAATATTAGAGTTTATTTAGTAGAATCAGAATTTACATAAAATTGTTATTTCTAAGCCTATTAACAGATTGTGGTGGTCAATGCTGCTTGTTTATCACATTCTAAAAATAAAAAAACGCTTACATTTAGCCCTCATTAATCATGTACAAACGGAGCTCAATCATTTAGCCACTCATCTTCTACACGCTAGGTCCCGAACGTAAACGCGGTTTGTCGAATTGTCATCGGTTCTTACACAGCGCATATAGCGCACACTACAGCATAACCTATCACCAAGATTTTACTACTTAACAGCATCCATTCAATTCCAAACTACAAGCTCCCAACAACTTACAACCCAGTTAGTTAAGTATGTAAATGAATCGTGTTGAAAGGTTAGCGATTGTGACCACAACAATAATTTGCAAGTTGGTATGACGTATCAACGAGCCACTGTTTGTAGAGACGATAAAACTTGCAAATGACCTCAATGTATGTTTAATACAGATCAATAATTTATGTATAAACTTGATAGACACTAAAACCATAAGTAAAAATACACACCATAATTTATGGCAGATGTTTTGACATTTTTCTCATCAATTGACCTTAGACATTTATGTATCAGCCAAATACTTAGAGAAAATTTGAAACAATATTACATCATTTTAGTTAATCACAAAAATTAGGACGAAGATACAAAGATAGTGAAAATAAACCGGAAAAAATAATAAACAAGGAAATAAACTTATAAATTGGTTAAAAAGTGTAAAACAAGGAAATAATAATTACTATTACCGATAAAAACAATGAATGCAGAAGATCCATTGAATTAAACCCATTAGTCAGTTGTCTATTAGACTCCAATTTAAAATCCTATTACTTGCTAACTATCCAGAAGTTGTAAAAACTAGTGAAATTTCTAGGTCTGATTGCTTTGCCTCACTATAACTTAATGTTTATTAACAACAATGACCGTTTATGGAGTCGGTCACATCCAAAAAATTGTTTCAAAGATAATGAGAGATGAAAACTCAAAACCCTGACATCTTTTACCTTGAACAATCATGTTTCTTATTCATGCGGAAAAATAAAGCAATATGATCCATTGCATCCTCCTCCTTGAACTTGCATGCAAATAAATCCTCTGTAATTCAATTAATGTAAGTCTATAAGAACCAAATGAACCTTCTATATGTACTCTAGAACTTCATTGATCAGAAACTAGTCCATCAATTCAGTGTGAATTCTCAAATATGTGAATCGTTTAACGATTTCAAACACTTTACAGAGTTACATGTTAGTGACGATAAAATTGGGAAGATTCTTTGCTTCACATTTTCACAGCAAATATTTAGACGACTGTCTCTGGTCAACATTTTCACTTAATAAGACTAAGCCAAATGAGCCTCAGAGTTGAATTATTTTTTAATTATTCATAATACAACTCTTAGCTCAAAAAAAACACTACGAAAATAATATAACTGAAGCAAGAATACAGAACTAATGTCATCAATTCAAAGAATACATCATAATGTTCAAGAGGAATGCTACGAAAAAGTACAGCACGATATCTATTTGATAACAACTCTTACGAAAAAATGTTTGCATCTACCAGTTCAACCAATGTTCTAATAGCTGCAGTTGCATGTGAAATATAAATACCCACCAATAGGAATGTCGACAGGGTTAGATTATAATGCCAGTAAAGTGCATTTCATAGATAAAAAACACTACCATAGATGCTGCCTTCCCGTTATTGAGGTCAGTGTTACCAAACTTATCCTTCACACTACCGAGTGGATTTCCAATATCCGTATACTAAATGACTTTGCCTTTGCAAGTTAGAAAAATATCTTAGTCATCAAAATGCAGTTCAAACGAAATTCAACCAACCAGAAAACGCTTGATTTGATACGACTTTACGGTTGTATTAATCTATTTAAAACATATCCGGTTACAATGCGACCAACTGATAGTCACAAAACGGTTTGTAATCCGGGTTATATTCGTTTTAAGCAAGAAGAAACAAGTTATTTTAATACTTGAAAAGATCTCAGCAATTGAAATTTAAATAATCCCAGCGTTTCGTTCATCAATCTTGTCTATATCTATACAGGATAATGAAAATCAAAATTATCCCGACTATAGCTGCTACCTTGACGTGGTGGTCGGGCTTGCCTATCCTCATGACCCAACCGAGCTATATTGGATAGAACATATGTTCCTGTAGGTCCTACCATACCAGGCAGGCCGATTGGAGAATGAGGAGACTAAAAGCAGATACTCAAGGTCTCAGGGCGAAGTCATACTGCTGATAGTAGAGGGGTGTGACAGCAGTAAGGCGTTTTCCTCGGACACCCAGGATCTGCAGAGATGCCGCCTTCTTACATGGAAGGAAGGGGTTAGAAAAGGTCGACCCTAAAAATCTCACACCTCACCTTACATCACGGATTTCCGTCTCCGGCGGTAAGGCCTCTTAAACAAGAACGGAGTTGACATTTTAAATACTACCCATAAAAAGGCCGTACGTCGCCGGCCTAAAGCAGTTGTCCCTTGGACTTTGCGGTTACGCTCCAAGGTCTATAAGACCAACGCCTATCTACCTTCTTTTTTCGGTCCTTCAAGAAACACCCTTCCACGGTGTGGGCAGCCGGGAAGTGACACCCGCCCTCATACCCGTAACAGCACGCGAGAAATCAAAATTATGAAAGAATATATGACGTATGACAAGCAAATCTACACTGAAAGCTTATCCAGTCATATTCAGTTGTTGATATGCGTCAGCATTATGTGAATAATGTGAAATATTTACACTGTGGAAAATAATATAGGTACCTTTTTATTATCATTAGTTAACATTCGATAAATAAATAGTCTCAGCCTACTACTAGGAACATGTTAATCATTTTTTGCATTAGAATAAAAATAATGATGATACAAACTAAAAAATGATTTTAAAACGTCTATGGGTATTCAAAATGAGAACCAACAAATATTTAGTTACAATGTCAAAAGATTCAAACTAGTTTTTTCGTAATAAAGGTACATGTGAAATAGATAGGGTTAAATATTCTTTGATAATTTTGTTTATTACTCTGAAGAAGTACAGATGGGTTTGCTGGATGAAATATTGGGATTATTTAAATTTCAATTTCTGAGACTTTTTTGATTTAATTTTTACAAATAATGTCTTCAGTATATGCGGCCTCTGATTTCTGTTAGATTCGTGTGCCAGTAAGAGTGCTAATACGAACAAAAGCCTGAACAAATCATTCACTTTGAGACTTGCAACGGGTGTGTGACTACACTTTAGTAAGTATAACTGACGTTGCTAATTTTAAAAGGAAAAAATATTTATACAAGTACATACTTCAGAGACCGAACACTCCAGGCCTATAAATCACACACTACATTTAATAGGACAGTACAATAAACAATAAAAAAAAACATAAAATTCACCACCTACTTACCTCGTATTACGTCTACATCGATCAGACCGGAACGTGTTTTGCCATCACGAGTCGAATGTTGATCGATTCCCTGAAGAAAACAAGGAAAGATGTTGTTTTTTGAAAATATTTTAACCCAGAAAACTAGTTAGTTATGTACATCCTTGCGCAATAAACTGAAGAGAATCCATTTTTGCAGGACCAATGGTACTATATATCAATGTGGATAAAATATATTTGCATCACAAATCTAGTGATGATAATTAGGACATCCACTCTTCGAAGAATAACTCACTGTAATATACTTCTGCTAAAGTTAACTGAAATCTTACAGCCAGTCAGAAATCAACTCAAAATACACACCACTGTTGACTTATTAGATTTTAGTCATTCAATATCTGATTTAAGTGCAAATGGAAAGCAGCTTTTATCATAAAACGTTACCTCTTTTCATACAAATATTCCTGTCAGACACAATCGGTCTGTTATAGGACTATATTAAAAACACTAACCTCAATAATATTATCATTATTATCCGAAGAAATTAATTCTTCCACGTACTCTTAACATTCCGTTTCAACCTAGTAAGGTATTACGCCGAGAAATGGAGACAGGTAAGAGAAAAGTGCAGAACGATTCATTCATACAAAAGATCGTTGGATGATACATTCGCGATTTGCGACGTACATCACAAACTAAACAACATTCTGAAAAGGTTCGATGGTCTTCACTAACACCTGTTTATAAGAAAGCCAGAGTTGGACTTGGGGTTCCACTTACGAGATGTTTTGCTAAATCAAGGACCGGGTGGCTAGTTTCAGATATCAACATTTAAAAACTTAATTTACTCTCAATCAGTGAGAGTCAATAAAGGTCGACTCAACGCTGGACTCAAATAGACCACTTCGCTATCAGCCATCGCTGAAGTCTTGAAAGGAGACTATGACTCACATGTTTAGACACAGACTATGCTCTAGTACGAGAACGTATTTGTCTGCGTCTCGGTGCACGTAGAGACAACAGCAACGAATTCCCCGAGTTTAATTTAATGATAAAAAAATGCTAAGAATGCTTTTAGCAACAACTATAAAAAGTTAGACAACCATGTAAGTGATGCCCAAATTGAGACAGCTTGTAATGATGTTCAAAAAGCTGTGAAAATAGCAATGATATCTGCCAGTAAATTAAACCAAAAGTTTAAGAAAGATCAGCGGATTTCAGATAAATTTACTTAACTGATGGACGTACGGAAGCTCCCTCCATTTGACTCCGAACAAGATAAGGAACGGAGGTTGCTTAAACACAATGAACCTACAACTTAGTGACTAAAAGCCGAACACACTAACTAATTAACCAACAAATCCTGCAACATTTACTCAAGATAGGGCAACCGGTTAGTATTGCTAACCCTTACGTTTAGATCATAGCTTATACTCAAGTATATGGTGAGTCTTATTTTTGGCACCAAAATGAATGCAACTGTGCCAGTGCAAAAAATTTAGATATTTAGCAACCAACATTTTTAAAAGCAACATACTTTTAAAAACATTTAGATAGTGCATATTCACAAAGTATGGGTATTTAGATAGAAAATTTCGACGTGGACTTTCCAATAATGAACAATGATTTGGCAGGTATGATTAGGATTGAAGATATTCTAAAGTACTACAATTAGATAGACCCCCACCACAATTTACCACTGCAACAAGCTCAATCAAGAATGCATAGTGAGTAAAAGGTTCTCAAAAAACCTATAACATTGATTTTTCATAACAGGACTGTAGTCATCAGTTGACTGAACTTTCTTGTTTTAAACTGGTCATCTGACTCAAATGTCGCTCAATCTCTGATAAACGATAACAAACCTGAGTTGTATTCTAATCTATAGTGCTCAATGAATTAGGAGGTAGAGCTTGAACCTAAGATGATGTGGTGATGAACAACGTAGGACATGACTTTCTAGTATGGGATTGTGTTTTCATAACGCACATTGGAGCACTAAGAGGAAGGGAACTAAAGGAACAGCAAGAAATGAAGACTAGTGGTGGCAATAAAAATGGACAAGTGGGGCTAGGGCACAATTGACGAAGACGTCTGAACTTTTAAAAAACTAACGGATGTGTTATGGTCCCTCTGAGATCTATCTTTCAAATACATCAGCAGTACTAGCCCGAGGACCCTAACACACATATACATACTACCCTTACTGCTGGCATACAGTAACGCATGTGGCTCCGCATACCCAGATTTTGACAGAATTTTGAGTGATCTTATTATGTATGAAACAGAGGACAAATATACGTACTCACGTTCTGTGGAAACCTATTGTCTATGGTAAGCAAAACAACGAACTAAAGATTATCAGAATGTCTGAAGTGAATAATGAGGTCATAACACTGAAAAACCGATAAATTTGAAATTGTAATAATTGTCAAAACATAAATTTACCTGCAAGATCCGTTGTTCGGCTCCGTGTTCCCATGGGTGCTTGTCATAATTACTTAACTAAGTGAAAAAAGTCTAAGGACTATAAAATATAATTACTTTTAGTTGAAAGAGTTTAGCATAAAGCTCAAACTTCCACATAACTCACGTCATTCGCAAATGCCAACTCGAAAAACCCGCCGTAAATTGCATCAAGCTATGGATCAACATCTACTCTTAAAATAATGCACAAAAACACACAATATAAAGATGATACCAGAACTAGAAAATCACAAGATGATTGTGGAAGCTATGAGTGAATGTTTTCGTTCTCTTTAAGTAGGTTTGGGTACAAGAGATGAGTTACGATGCGTCAATTCCATTGGTCTAAATTATTATTTATCAGTGTATTTCTCCATCGTCATAAGCATTCGGTTGCCCCATTCTCCAGTTGTTCCTGTCAAATGGATCCTGAGAATTATTCTACTGTTTGATAAATATAGTTCTCAACCTTGTCAGGCTTGCAGCCTAATAGCTCAAGCAGAACCAATCCTAACAACATAAGGACTCTTTCTTCCACTCGACCTCTGGTTCTAGACCCAATAAGCACATCATTTCTTATTAGCAATATAACTTCTCCACCTACCAACTGTGGTCAGGTACACCCATAGGAAGAAGCCATTCGTTAACAATGTTCATGGGTTCTCCTAGTCTACGATCGGTCTGCCGCACTAGCTTACTCAATACATACACATTCATTTTTGTTCCATGAGTAGACTTCAAACATCCTACTTAACAGTCATATAGCATCCGGCTTGATTCAGTTTATATCTAAACCACTGTCTGGAATGGCCTGTCTGTAAACCTCCTTGTCTCAAGCCTTGAGACGCCCGGTGATGAGTCACAGGAACATACTTTCTTTTGGCGACTTTATATGCTCGCAAAGATTTACTTTTGATTTCCCACCCATAATGCTCAATAAACTTGTGGGTGATTTATTTCCTAAAACTCTTCACCATCAGACACCACAGGAGCCTTAAAACCACCTGGTCTGCGATTCCATTTAATTCATAAAAACAAGGACCTGCTTCCAGTCACCTTCGACCATTTATCATTAACCGGTAGCTCAGGGATTTGGGAAAGCTTTCCAATAGTGTGGTATCTTTTGCACATCAAACATGTTGGCATAGCTGGATCATATCAAATCTATCAACCTGGAAAACGTAGGTTCTCGACCATTTTCTGTCAACCTTCCAACCATTTTAGCCCATTACATCTGTAATTCTCAAGGCTATCTATTTACTAATCTTCCAAGGGTGCCAAAAGATTTAAAGTCCACTGAATAGCCCATTCGTTTATAGTACTACAAAACAATCCTCCATTTTGATTGCTAGTATGGACAGTCTTTTCACTCCTTGTGTTCTACCATAAAACCTTCGATTAGCCCCTCTGACAAAACTCGGTCAACCCCATGTATCCTTCAAAACAGTCGTGACAGAATATCGCACACTCTCAGATAACCAGACGATAGTGGACCGATAATGCACTCCTCAATAGCTACTAAAGCTTTACCCTTGCACTAGTTTAACGAGGACAGAAGCCGCTGACCATCATCTTCTACCTTAGAAAGAACGGACAATTCAATCTGTCTGATAAACATCATATAATTTTCTGGTCAACGATCATTACTTCATGATTCTACCTTTCAAGGTTCTGAGCTCAGACCGAAAGATGAAATGGCAATTTCCTTCGGCTTTCTTTACAATCTAATGTTTTTGGCTTTCCTGGACTCCCTCCATCTCAAGGTCTTAATCAGCGTGGCTTTCGAAATGACGATCAGATAGCTGTCGTTTATCATAACAATCGAAAGTTGAGGATATTTCAAAATACCTCAACCGGTACAGCCTGTACTCTACAGACGCAACATTTCTCACTCAAAACAGCTTACTAAACAGTGAAAGGAGTGGTTAACAAATAAGTTTTTTGCACCTGAGAACCAACAAGAGTTTACCTAACAAGATGGGACTAAATATCTACCTAAAATGATTCGAGCAGCTGTTTCTAGTAAGCAGTCAAAGGTCAACAAATTACCCAAGGAACTACGCCATAACCTTGAGTCTAGTCAGTTACGATCAAATAGCCAATGGCACGGCAACAAACAACAGAAATTAAAGTAACAGAGGTAAATATTTACTTAACTCGATCATTAACGACCGAACAAGCCAAAACACGTGTCCTGAATAAAACTGAATACAAAACATACTCAGATAGCAAATAAATAAGAACAATGTCCAATACAACTCTTTGAATGGATTCTCAGAGCTTTCCTTACATTAAACTCGCTCTGTGGAACTGAACAGTCCCATAGGCGAGTTGTATCAAATCGTAGTACATAGACAGCATCTATTTCAAATGCTCCATTTTTTAAATAAACCTATTTTTCTAGTGATGTTCTCTCCGACAGTCACACTTAGCTTAGTCTCCCTATAATTTCTATCAACCTATCAGCACCAGTATAAATAGCTGATTATCTGAGTAATCCCAGCATTGAGTTTGAGGCATGTCTCTCACGACTAAAGTCACATCAATTAGCTAGATAGATTTATTACTGCACTCTTATTGCTATTACTCATCCTTATCAAGAATTATAAATACTTCATGTCCCTTACTAACTTGCAACTGTGAAGTACAGTTATTTGACGTGACGTACACAACCATCACAATCATCAACAATCATCTATCCCAACTAGTCGTGCTTATATATGTCTAGTTATTTTTCCCCATGTCGTAGTAGGTTCGAATCAGACTGCACCGAGTTTCTTAAATTAGTGCCGTAGCTTCTCGCAGTGAGACTGCCGTCCTCCAGGGTGCGACAACCTTCCAAAGTAAATGTGTTGGCACTTTTAAGATTTAGATCTTGATTCTAAACTGGCATCTCTTGTGTCACAAATTGTTACTGAAGAATACATTTCATTATTATTAATAATAAGTTATTTCTCAACTTTCATTATCATTTGTTTTTGGTCCACATCAATGTACACTGAATTCTAGCTTTAATGCTGGTCTGACACCCCACCCTCCCTTCTACCAACTAGCTCCCAACCTATCCGACAAATATTTGCTCGTAATCACTTTTCTCAACATCGTCATATAACGTAGTTTGGAAGCATCATCTACGTACTGTGATTTATATGACTGATGAGGCCGTTTACAAAACCTAACAGACGGAACTATCAGTATGGATATATAAGTTCCTAGTTTCTCCGTGTTTATCATTATTTGAGGTAGAATCTTTCGACATACTTTCCTATCACTTGCCTCTTTACTAAATGACCGAGAAATCTGTTAGTTTAGAGACATTTCATCAAACTGCAAGAACTTTTGTTGAATTGGCCCCACTGTTGGCCAAGTTCACATAATAATCACAGACATTCATATGGATTTGTACTTTGATTTTCATAACTTAAGCTCCCCCTATTAATCACCAGTGCAGCATTAAACTTATGAAGAGTCCTTCAGTAGAAAATGATCAAAGATCATGTAATCTAAATGTATGGTATATAATCTACTAATTAAAACAATTTACGATCATCGTATTTCAAGTTGACTGAATTCCAACTTCTGTCAAACCCAATACTTACAACTATCACAGTAATTTATAACTATCAATCTATGAGCAAGAATAATTGGTCTGTTATATACCAAAATATTGAGTCTAGAGTATAATACTCGTGAAATTACTCTCTTTGAGCCAATTATTATCAGCTTTCCTCTCAAGACTAGTGGAATTACCAATATTGTCACTTAAGGAAATATGTTTTGGTAGCGGTTCATGTGTATCAGTAGTTTCCTATCATGGTCAAGAAGCACTGGTCATATCCTATCCGGGAACTACATTCCCTATCATGGGGACGAGTCGTCAATCCACCACCACTTGCTCTGATCAGCAGATACAATGAAGTCCGTGATGCTGACTTATCAACAGAAGTTCTTGACCCATAGATAATATGCAAGGGTGGGATCTCCAATTTTGATATTTCTTCGTCTCCAGAAGACTTTAAGTAGCATAACATGGGATCAATATTTATCTCTCCATCTCCTGATACAGAGGAGGTTTGATCAGCATTCGTCATCGTCGGTAACTTATTTGTCACATCAGTGACATCCAGATTATTATCAACGTCATCATGATTCCGTTCTGTCAGACAAGTCGCGTCGATTCGGTCTGCACTAGCATCCGTAGAGTGGAACTCTTCCATTGTTGTATAACTCATATCACTACATGAAAGAACAGCATTAGTATCGCAATTCGAAACTGATATACTCACTTGTTGTTCTTCATGTCCGGTTCACAGACACAAGACATATGCTCATCAATAGCATCGTTATCATGCAACACTGTAGATTGGTTGTTACCATCAGACGCTTCCTTCTCATCATCACTTGACTGACAGTCAACCGAAGTAGGAACACTTACAATTACACAACCTTGTGTATCCTCAATCAACTTAACATTCGCGACAAGGTACAATGACGTCGAAACACTAGAAGGCTCGTTCGATGAAGTTGATCGACTAATCGCTATAAGTGGACTGCTCACACTTTCTGTCTCCTTATTATCGCTGTCACTACTAAGATTCTGATGACTACTATTTCCATTGCTAGTCATAGCATCCGAAAGAGAATGATGTTTAGGCTTCTTAATAATAGTAGCATCATGTTGTTTCCTGGGCTTCTTAGCCTTTACAGTACCGCCATCACTTATCCCAGAATCAACTCTAGGTCCCGTCATATAATTTACTCTAAATGAAGGGTTCCGAACATAGGCTTTATTCCGTCCAGACAATCCTGCCTGGGCCTTATTCATATTTACTGAATTCATTAACCTCTGTTTACTCGAATCCAAATAACCGTTCCAGGCTTTTCGAGCAGCTAAGAGGCTTTTATCATCACACACTTCGGAACCATCTTGATGCCTACACCTTTCACCTTTTTCTTTCTTTTCCATACTTAGAAAAGCCATCTTATCTGTTACACCAACCGGCTTCTCACTAGGGTAAGCATCAAGAGGCTTTACATCGTTACGGTCACATACTCGTCCTTCATCAGCGTGTGCTTTCGTGATATAATTGACAACTCTCTTATCTTCCGGGCGTGAGTTA